TCACCACAAGCGTCGCACAACATCTGTTCATGACAGGCATGTCTTTTTCTTCCAGGGTTTCACTCTCATCCCATAGGGCACCCAAGAATTGTCAAACCACAAGGCTTGCCCCTGGCTGCTGCCAAGGGATGCCCTACGATGAGAGTCACTTGACATGCTGACAGGGCTTTCAGCTCCCAAAGATTTCAACGGAATCAAGGCAAGAAATCAACATAGAACTTGAGGCCCAGGGGTAAGGGGCAAAAGCTAGCTTGGCAGGGAGCTTGGCATGAAAACACAAAGGGCACAGCACAGCTGTGCAGTCTTTTCGTCACGTGGGCGAGCGGGTCTGAAGCTGGGGCATGTTGGTAAGGTGAACATCCAGACCTAGGTATTGAGGCGATGTATGTTGGAGGGGACGAGGTAAGAAAATATGATTATGATGTACTGTTGCACGAAGAGGATAAGGAAATTCAGCATAGCCAACCTGATGACCAGTGATTGGGAAAGATGGAAAGGTCCACCTTCGGCATCGGACTGGACCTTTGGAAGCGCGGGAAAAAGTAATGCAGTGCAAAGCCGAAGCTGAGGACGAGAGGTAGGTGTGCGTGCGCAACATGAAAATGAAGCTAGGCCAAGGTTCCATACGGGTAAAGTGTTAAAAACTTGTGAGGGTGTAAGGTGAAAGTGTAGCAAAGAAAACTGCTATCTTGGGAGGCTGTGTTTGGCTGTGCTCCGATCCTGTTTTTTGCAGTGCTTTGGTCATGCTGGCTACCTGCACGAGAAGAGTTGAGTCAAAACAGCACTGTGCCCAACCATCACAATTCATCACATTCCCTTGCAATTTCCAAGTCCCAGATTTGCAGCAAGGAATCAATTAGTCCTGAGGCTCTTAGGCTTTCCACGGGAACATCTGACCGAATTCGTCTCTGGCCTGTCAGGGCCTCAGCCATGCTAGAACCATCTAGAAATTCTAGAACCACTTCCTTGTTTTTCGCCTGTTTTCAGTTTTGCCTGTAGGAGACTAGGAGACTTTGGGACATGGAGCCTCTGGGACATGTGGGGTAAAGATTCTTGAAAGTTTGACGCGTTATATACTGTATCTTTCATCCTGGATGCCTGTGAGCCTCCGGATCCGAGGTTGAGTGCTGTTGAGTGTTCAGTCCATTTCCCTTTTCAGGAATGACTCAAACAGATTGCGTCCAAAACTGCGGAAAGTGCAAAGCCAACATAGATCTAGGTTCCTGCTACCTACATGTTCCTACTAGAGCTTTTGATGTCTTTGCTTCTTGATCAAAGCACGCGAGCTTATCAGCTGTGCCGGCCTTGTTGGAAGCCAAGGTTTGAGCTTTGGGCAGCTGAATAATTCGAGGGAAGCCGCTGATATATAATGTAAGGTAGCGAATCAGATCTCTGGTTAATGGCGGGTCCACCGCATGGATTCATCGATTTGGACAAAACAGAGCGTGATGCAATTTTGAGCTGCCCTGGGAGAAATTGTTTCGAATGTTTTGTTGTCAGAGTACAAAAATACAGGTACGTTATTTTTACTGTTTTTTTTTCCCCTCTCCCGGGTTTTTTTTTTCCCGGCTAAGTTCTTGCAGACTGGTGTGCCCAGGAAGCAAGGCAGCAAGCAAGCAAGCAAGCAAGCAAGCAAGCAAGCAAGCAAGCAAGCAAGCAAGCAAGCAAGCAAGCAAGCAAGCAAGCAAGCAAGCAAGCAAGCAAGCAAGCAAGCAAGCAAGCAAGCAAGCAAGCAAGCAAGCAAGCAAGCAAGCAAGCAAGCAAGCAAGCAAGCAAGCAAGCAAGCAAGCAAGCAAGCAAGCAAGCAAGCAAGCAAGCAAGCAAGCAAGCAAGCAAGCAAGCAAGCAAGCAAGCAAGCAAGCAAGCAAGCAAGCAAGCAAGCAAGCAAGCAAGGAAGCAAGGAAGCAAGGAAGCAAGGAAGCAAGGCAGGGAGCCAGCGAGCAAGCACGGACGGGAGCAAGCAAGCAAGCCAGCCAGCCAGCAAGCAAGCCAGCTAGCCAGCCAGCCAGCAAGCAAGGGAGCCAGCGAGCGAGCAAGCAGGCAAGCAAGGCAGCAAGCAAGCAAGCAAGCAAGGAAGGGAGCCAGCGAGCAAGCAAGGAAGGGAGCCAACGAGCAAGCAAGCAAGCAAACAAGCAAGCCAGCATGCATTGCTCATCAAAGAATGATCCTGCAGTTGGGTTTTGACTGCAACACAAAATCTGAAGTAGCTGGTGGATCTGAAACATTTTTTTTTTTATGCTCAAACTTTTGTTGGCAGCATGATCCGCACATTGAATCCACCAACCCAACAGATCGGATTTCGTATTTTGACCAGATAGTAGTGCGAACACCACCTTTACAGAGGAGGTGATACAATTGCTGGAAAAAATAGGTGCACTATGTAAAGTTTGCACACTTGTAAATACACTACTCTACATACATGTGTATGTATATATACATATGTACAGGTAGTCATTTAGATACATATTTGTGGTTTTTTATTTGCGCAGGTCCAACAACAACAGCAACAACAACAACCATAACAACAATAAACACAATAACAACAACGATCACAACAACAAACATCACAACAACAAACATAACAACAACCATCACAACAACAACCATCGCAACAACAAACATCACAACAACAAACATCACAACAACAAACACAACAAAGAAACAACAACAAACATTACAACAACAGACAGCACAACAACAAACATAACAACAACAAACGTAACAACAACAACAACACACAACAAAATGGAAGGTTCCAGCTCCCAAATTCTGCAAATAGCACGCAAACTGAAAGGTTCCTGCGCGCAAATGCGGCAAATAGCATGCTAAATGGAAGGTTCCTGCGCCCAAATGTGGTAAATGGCATGCAAAATAGGAAGTTCCAGCTCCAAAATGCTGCATATAGCATGCAGCATGGAAGGGGAAGTGGCAGGATAGATGTAGGGGACGGAAAGCAGATCAGGAAAAAAAAACCCAGGGCAGGGGAAAAAAATCCCCAGCGAGATTCAGCACCAAACATAATGTATACATGGTGCGCACATTACATATTGAAGAACATATTTATATGCATATATATATATTATACATATTCTCGGAATATAGTTGGATACGGATACATCTTCACGAATCACTGAAACATGTCATCTATGTACTGACAGATGATGTGCACACACTCGCAGCGTCACTGCGTCACTATCCTATCACGCGAAGAAATGAGATGAGTTATTGAACAAACCGTACATGGGGGGATCTACTGGCAGATTTGAGAGATTTTTGAACTACCAAGAAAGCGTATGATATACCTTAGCATGTCGCTCTAGCACATTTTTGAGGGGTCTCTTTAGAGCCTATGTCTGCTTCCATTTTCCCATTTTCTGCATTACTGTACCCTTAACTTTCTCCATTTTCTGCATTACTGTACCCTTAATTTTTTTTCCAGTTTTTGCATTGCTGTACCCTTAACTTTCTCCATTTTCTGCATTGCTGTACCCTTAACTTTCTCCTTTTTCTGCTTAACTTTCTCCATTTTCTGCATTACTGTACCCGTAACTTTTTCCAGTTTCTGCATTGCTGTACCCTTAATTTTCTCCATTTTCTGCATTACTGTACCCTTAACTTTCTCCATTTTCTGCATTACTGTACCCTTAACTTTCTCCATTTTCTGCATTGCTGTACCCTTAACTTTCTCCATTTTCTGCATTACTGTACCCTTAACTTTCTCCATTTTCTGCATTGCTGTGCCCTTAACTTTCTCCATTTTCTGCATTGCTGTACCCTTAACTTTCTCCATTTTCTGCATTACTGTACCCTTAACTTTCTCCATTTTCTGCATTACTGTACCCTTAACTTTCTCCATTTTATGCATTACTGTACCCTTAACTTTTTCCATTACTATACCCTTAACTGAGGGGAGTTAAGGGTATAGTAATGGGGCCCTTGGGGGCCAATTTGGAGGGCAATTTGGGGACTCGAAATCATTGATTTTTGGAGAGGTGGCATTCACCAAATTCGACATAGCATTTTGGTTTTGCCACATTAAGGGTACAGTAATGGAAAGTTAAGGGTACAGTTAAAGGTATAATAATGGAAAATTAAGGGTATAGTAATGGAAAGTTAAGGGTGCAGTAATGGAAAATTAAGGGGACAGTTAAGGGTATAGTAATGGAAAATTAAGGGTACAGTAATGGAAAGTTAAGGGTACAGTTAAGGGTATAGTAATGGAAAATTAAAGGTATAGTAATGGAAAATTAAGGGTATAGTAATGGAAAGTTAAGGGTACAGTAATGGAAAGTTAAGGGTACAGTAATGGAAAGTTAAGGGTACAATTAAGGGTATAATAATGGAAAGTTAAGGGTACAGTTAAGGGTATAGTAGTGGAAAATTATGGGTATAATAATGGAAAATTAAGGGTATAGTCATGGAAAATTAAGGGTATAATAATGGAAAGTTAAGGGTACAGTTAAGGATATAGTAATGGAAAATTAAGGGTATAATAATGGAAAGTTAAGGGTATAATAATGGAAAGTTAAGGGTACAGTTAAGGGTATAGTAATGGAAAATTAAGGGTATAATAACGGATAAAGAAAACGTGTTAGAGTAACATACTAAGATATACCTGATAGAACTGTGTCAACCAAGTGGTGGAGGGTAATTTCATTCTTTTTACATCTTTGCCATAGAGGCTATGTTGACATCAGCTGAACAGGAATGATTTGTAAGGCATCCAAGATAAACCATGCGGTTGTGTTTCTGGCGATGGCTGTGTGGATTTTAGCCAGACACTCTGGTTTTTCGGAAACCAGATGGGGATCAACACCACAGAAGATCAACATGCCACCCATGGACTAACAGCTTTATCGTGGATCCCGAGTAGACAAGTAACTTAAAACATGTGTGACATGCATGGTCTCAAGATCGAATATGCGTTGTGCATGTTATTCAATAGTTTGAGCACCATGGGCCAGACAAAATATTGTCCATTTTTGGGATACATATGGCGTTTAGCATCACACAGATGCGAACGGAACCATCTTTCAGATGCCGACCATGGTGGTCTCTCGTTGCGGCTGCCTGGATTCCGTGCGTTGCACGTGAACAGCCCTGGATCGCTTTGGGTTTGGCTGGCAACCTCAACGCCGACAATGCGGTGGTGCGCCAGGCCGTGGCGAGCTGGTTGGATGCTGGCGGCCGCGCGGTGGATGCGGCGTTGATGTACTACAACGATGAGGGCTTGCGGCAGGGGCTGGAAGGTTTCTATGGCACTCCAATTGATCCAAAGGATTCAAGTGAGCCAAGCGCCAGCGAGGTGTTTGTGACCACCAAAATCCCTCCTGAGCAGATGGGTTTTGATCGGACTCTGGAGGCCATTGTGGAGGCTCGAGAGAAGATCTTGCCGGCTGGAAGGCTTGGTGCTGTCAACATGTTGATGCGCAAAAAATGTTGAATCATCTCGATCCACCGTCCTGGTGTTGTGACAATTCAACCATATTTGACATATGCATTTATTCTCATTTATTGTGTTGAAATTGTTGAACATCGGTGAAAGGACTGGTTTTTTTCGATCATTTTCGGTCCAGGTCTTCGAAAACGTTGGATTGCGTACTGATCCACTGGCCCGGCCGCACCTGGCGGAAGCGCCACAGTGACCCCGGCTGCGTCCTGGATCGCGGTTCAGCAGCGGCAGACTGGTCCGTGTGTCGTCGCGAATCCTGGGCCGCGCTGCAACATGCCAAGGCCATGGGAATGGTGGGATTGAAACTTGGCGAAACGAAACCAGTAACCGTAACCTCTACTTGGAACATCTTGGAACTTACGAAACGGTAAGTCATCGGGGTGGTGGTCAACCACGGGTAGAGGGTAGACTTGTTGATACTGTGCAGAACATGTGCACTTCACACCGTCCTGCTGCGCTGAACATGTCGCGTTTTCTCGAAAGGTAGCGGTGAGCTACCTGAGTTCCCCCTTGCGTAGCAAGTATTAGGGGGCGAGCGGTGCAAGTGCAAGAGTTTGGGCCGGTTATGTCTCGGTCCGCCTTTCAAGGGGGGGGGGGCCCCCCCCCACCCTTCGATTCCCCCCAGGACCACCTCTAAAGCCGGGTTTGCAACATAGGCGGACTACAAGGAAACGCCAACAGCCGCACATGCACTTTCATCCACCACGTTTACATACATCCCCACCCCAACCGAAGTCAAGACCCGCACTGAAACTCGACAATGTCAGATTGCTCAAGAACTTTGTTTCGTTCACCCTAACAACCGCGATGAACAATGTCGTAGCAAGAACGTTGCGACGGACTGCGTTGCAGTAGTCTCAAAAATCGTACATGATATACCAGTAGTACCGCACAAAGCGGTGGCGGAAGTTTCAAAAATAGGAAACCTATAGGAGAGATTGGTTGTTGTGAATCAGAGATGGCAGAGCGAAGCCACTGCTGGACTGAAAGGCGATTGATCTCTCTCACTCTTGTCTACCTGTCTATCTATCTATCATATCTATCTATCTATCTATCCATCTATCCATCTATCCATCTATCCATCTATCCATCTATCCATCTATCCATCTATCCATCTATCCATCTAGCCATCTAGCCATCTATCCATCTATCCATCTATCCATCTATCCATCTATCCATCTATCCATCTATCCATCTATCCATCTATCCATCTATTTCTCCCTCTATCTATCTATCTATCTATCTATCTATCGATCTATCGATCTATCGATCTATCGATCTATCGATCTATCGATCTATCTATCTATCGATCTATCGATCTATCGATCTATCGATCTATCGATCTATCGATCTATCCTATCTATCCTATCTATCCTATCTATCCTATCTATCCTATCTATCTATCTATCTATCTATCTATCTATCTATCTATCTATCTATCTATCTATCTATCTACTATCTATCCTATCTATCCTATCTATCCTATCTATCCTATCTATCCTATCTATCCTATCTATCCTATCTATCCTATCTATCCTATCTATCATATCTATCCTATCTATCATATCTATCATATCTATCATATCTATCATATCTATCATATCTATCAATCTATCAATCTATCAATCTATCAATCTATCAATCTATCTATCTATCTATCTATCATATCTATCATATCAATCATATCAATCAATCAATCAATCAATCTATCTATCTATCTTTCTATCTTATCTATCTATCTGTCTAGCTGTCTACCTGTCTATCTTTTGTGCAGTGTCATTCAGTGTAATGTAGTGTAGTGTAATGTAGTGGAGTGTAGTTGTAGTTGTAGGTGGTAGTGGAGTGTAGTGTAGAGTAGTGTCGTGAAGTGTAGCGGCAGGTAGTGTAGTGTAGTGTAATGTAGTGTAGTGTAGTGGAGTCTAGTGTAGTGTAATGTAGTGTAGTGTAAGGTAGTGTAGTGTAGTGGAGTGTAGTTGTGTAGTTTTAGTTGTAGTGTTGTGGAGTGTAGTGTAGTGTAAGGTAGTGTAGTGTAGTTTAATGTTGTGTAGTGGAGTGTAGTGGAGTGTAGTTGGGTAGGTGTAGTTGTATTTGTAGTGTAGTGGAGGTAGTGTAGTGTAATGTAGTGAAGTGTAGTGTAGAGAGTGTAGTGCAGTGTAATTTAGTGTAGTGGACTGTAGTGGACTGTAGTTGTGTAGTTGTAGTTGTAACCTGTAGTGTTGTGAAGTGTAGTGTAATGTAATGTAGTGTAGTGCAGCAAAGTGTAGTGTCATGTAGTGTAGTCGAGTTAAGCGAAGCAACATCTGAACCGCCAAAAGTGGTCCGAAACCCTAGTGTTTTTAACATGTTAACTTCCAAATCTGCTTCGCGCCACAACGGCGTGCACTTTTTCGAAACTCGACATCTCAGCCTCCAAAAGTGGTCCGAACATGGTGTGGTTTGTACGTTTTGACTTCGAAATGTGCTTCGCGCCACAGCGGCGTGCACTTTTTCGAAACTCGACCTCTGAGCCTCCAAAAGTGGTTCGAACCCCTGGTGTTTTGCACATTTTGACTTCGAAATGTGCTTCGTGCCACAACGGCGTGCACTTTTTCGAAACTCGACCTCTGAGCCTCCAAAAGTGGTCCGAACCCCTAGTGTTTTTAACATTTTGACTTGGAAATGTGCTTCGCGCCACAACGGCGTGCACTTTTTCGACATCTTAAGTGCCAAAAGTGGTCCGCACTTGGTGTGTTTTCTACATTTTGACTTGGACATGTGCTTCGCGCCACAACGGTGTGCACTTTTTCGACATCGCAACTTCCAAAAGTGGTCAGACCCTGGTGTGTTTTGTACATTTTGACTTGGGGATGTGCTTCGCGCCACAACGGCGTGCACTTTTTCGACATCTGAAGCGCCAAAAGTGGTCCGATCCTCTGGTGTTTTGTGCATTTTGACTTGGAAATGTGCTTCGCGCCACAACGGCGTGCAATTTTTCATGTCTCATCTCCCCATATGTCTCCGCACCCGGCGCTTTAGCGAGCCTACTTTTCGACCCTCCGGAACCACAAATCATTGGAAAAACACAGTGAATCGCGACTTTCCTACCTTTTCGCGCATCTGCATCTTCTTTCTTCTGACTCTTTCTCTTCTGAACTTTCTCTTCTCTCTGCCTCTGCCCTGCTCTGCTTTTCATCTGTCCATATTGTCGGAAGTTTAGCTTCTCAACTTCCTTCGACAATATAGTTAAAGATATGTATCTATATATATATATACACATAATAATTCCATGATATATATATATACTAAATAATCTCAATATACATATAGATTCGTATATATATATATGCATACTCTACCCAGCAATTGTGGGATATTGCGCTTTGGCTAGTGGTTGCCGAAGCATAATCGCTGCCCCTTGCTCAGCATATCTAGATCATTTGGTGGATTTTCCGCAAGGGTTCCTCCAAGATATTCTCTTCAACCAAAAGACTTCGCTAATGACATTTCAATATGTTTCATATATATGTATATTCGTATATATATAGTTATCATGTATAATAACTAGAACACCTATAATGACTAGAATTACTATAATAACTAGAACATAATTATCACAACTATATTGAACCCCCCCTTCGATTCCCCCAAGGTCCGCCTCTAAAGCCGCGTTTGCAAGAAGTCACCCCGCGGGCCCACTTTTTGCACCAAGATTCCAGCACCAGGATAGCCCTAAGTCAGTTGCTTTGGGTACATGCTGGGGTCAAAACACCACGTTTGTGAATCCCACACTGTTCTACACATGTACACACCAGAATCAACCCCATCCGCGTTGCAACAATGTGCTGCCCCCATTTACACGTTGCCTCGCAAACCCCATAACCTGATATTTATACATATATCTAACTATATGTATGTATTTATATATATATATATGTCTGTGTCTGTGTGTGTGTGTCGTGTCCCCCCTCCCTGAAACCTACCTTTTTGGTACCCGCCCTCGAGTCCAAGCCCAGAAGACTTTTTTCGATATCCGCCCCAACTCCACCCACGTCCGTCCGCAGCGGATATGCCTCGTTCCCTTGCTCTCTTCTCCTGTTCCAACCCACGCCTACCTTTCGATCTTTCACCCTTCCCTCTCAAGTTTTTATTTTTCAAGTCCTCTGCATTGGAGGAAACATCGAAAAATCACCTCTCTTAAAAATCATAAAAAATGCAGAATTTTGATTCCAAGGATTGGTGTGTCCAACTATGAACTTCCGCACTTGGAAGAAATGGACAGTGTGCCTGATGTCCTGCAAATTGAGTTCCACCCTTGGTGGAACCGCGCTGACCTCCTCCAGTGGTGCCGCGAACGAAAGGTGAAGCTGATAGCCTACAGCAGTCTGGGAGGTGCCAACAATTTCGAGTCGTTGATTTTGGTAAAACGCGAAACCCAAAAGGAAACCTTGAAATTGGGAAGTTCTCCACATTTTTTGAATTTTGATGGGTTTTTGGGACCTTTGAAAGTGTTGAGTTTCATTTAATTGTTGCTGTTTTAATGTCAAATCAATACGACTAACAACAACCAACCCCATTTTGCGCAGTTGTATGGCGAAAACGACCCAAAGGCTTCTCCGAAGTGGTGGCACCAGCATCCAGCATAATCCCAGCCCCATATGAAGCACCAAGATGAATAGATCCACTAGATCCAACCAGGGTTTCCTTTGGGGGTCTTCAATTTTCGATGGGATTCATTCAGAAAGAGTTGGATCATGTTGGAGTTAGTCATAGAGCCATAGAGTCATAAACCATGATATCCCCATGAAGATCCAAGTAGTTTTCCAATTTTTCTATGGCACCAGGTGCAGGATCCACCTGGCTCGGAGATCCCACTTTGGCACAGCTGGCACGGCAGGAGGGGCTCACCGTGGCCCAATTACTGTTGAATTGGGCGGTGAGTCAAGGGGCGGCCGTGATTCCATCGGCCCGAAGCAGGCTGGTTGATGTTAGCTGATGGGAAGGCCGTTTTTTTGTTTTTAAATGTATTTTTTAACTATCCTAGAAATAGGATGATAGTTCATATTTTGTTTGAAACGACATTGGGTTGGCGATCAATGAGTTATCTTTTCCATCTTAATTTGGATGATAATCATTGATGATGATTGACACTCTCTGTGATTTTTTCATCTGTAGAGATACCCATTTAGTTTGGGGATTTCTCAGCCATGGTCGATGACTCTGGCAGGTAGTCCATATTTTTCAATCGGCTGAACGGCTGAGTCAATGGATTGGTTTAAAGGAAAAATGACAGGAAACCCCAGAAACCCCCGTGTTCCAGCGGAGAAACACGGGTTTCCTACTGGTTTCCTGTAGATGTTCCAATCCATTCACTCACCAGGAAACACATGGAGGAAAACCTGGCGTGCTGCCAACAGGCCCTATCTGCAGAAACTCTCAGTGCCATGTCGGCACCCTTGGAGGCGCAGCATCGAACCATTGAGCCGGATCCGCGCTGGATATATGTCCCGGGGGTGGCTGCGAATCTTGGTGGCGAATTGAGATGCCCCTAGGTATTTCTAGGATGTTCAACGGATGTTCTATGTATTTCTACATTTTTTGCCCTATTCACATACTGTATATATGATTATATGTATATATATATAATATCTAACAATGGGACGATTCAATTTTTTGCTGGGTTTTGAACAAACAACACCAACCAGGACTGCATTTGGAGGGCCCAAACCTCCCTCCCATGCACATCTCAATCTCTTCGGTGGCGTTGAACAGTTCCATTTTGGCAGCCTGCGCAAGCACTGCTGGCAAGAGGGGCGAACGCCTCACCTCTGCTGCGATCCTGCCTTTGGTCCTGAGGGTTTTTCAACTTGCTGGACGCGCGAGCTGAGTTTCATTGAGTGTTGCACAGCTACCACAGACAAACTCGTTCTTCACCCCGTCGGTGATTCACTTGCCTTTTCCAACAGTCTGGTGGATTTCATTGTGGTGGGTGCTGGTTCGGCAGGGAGCATAGCAGCCTCCAGGCTAGCACGCAAGGGCTTCACGGTGGTGGTGGCCGAATCTGGAGGTGATGGCTTGTCCTCCAAAAATATTCATCCTAATCCTTCATCCGCTGAACAATTTGATCATTGGTTCGTGCACAACGTGGAGTGGACACTGGGGGAAGTCTCCCGCACGACTCAAATCATTCACGGCCGGGGGCTGGGAGGAAGTTCTTCGGTGAACGGAAAGATTTACACAAGGACACCCTTGCCCTTTTCTCCTGCCATGGTTTCAGCTGCCTATGAAGATGTGGAATCAGATTTGTTGCTGGAGCAGGATGTGATACCAATTGAGTCATGGCAAAGGGCTGTGCTAGATGGTTTTGAAGCGGCTGGAATTCCATATGTGCACAATGCTTCGATGTCTTTTAAGCATGGTGTTGGGCCTGTGCAAAAGATTTCGAGCTGCAAAAACGGAGGCCGTGTGTCAGCTTTTCATTGTGCTCTTGGGAAGGGTGATGCCGAGGTGCTGAGAAATGCACACGTAGACCGAGTGATTTTTCAGGATGGCAAAGCTGTCGGGGTCAAACTCGCTGGCTATGTCAAAGGCAACCTTTTCTGCAGACATGGCATGATCTTGAGCGCCGGAGCGTTACAGACTCCGGTGATTTTGGTGCGATCCGGCATTGGGCATCCGATGGATTTGCAACGACTTGGTGTTGAAGCCCAGGTCTCCAGTCCGGAGGTTGGGGCCAACCTGCAGGACCATCCCTACTTGCCTTTTCGGGTTCGAACGAGTTTGCCATGTGTGGATGGGGATGGGAGTTTATATGCCTTTTATTCCAACTTGACTGCGCCAAGTTCCAGGCATCGCATCTTTGAGTTGCAGCTGATTCCGCGCTGCAGGGGTCAGAATATGGAGCTGAAAGGCTATTTGATCTTGCTGAAAAGTGAGATGAAAAGTGGCCGGGTGGTGGTGCGGTCCAGGGACGCCACCGAAGCTCCGGCCATTTTGAACAATCCTTTTGTTGGAGATGGCATTGATGCCTGGCAACTGATACATGGCTTGCGAGAAGTGTATCAGCTGTTGAAAGCGCTGGGAAGCTTGCGAGAATTCGATCCACCGCAGGAGTCACTGATGAAGGATGGTTTTGCTGGCCAGTACTGTGCTCAGCATCTGGGGCTCTGGCAGCATCCCATGGGTTCCGCTCGTATGGGATCGGTGCTGGACCATCACTTGCGCGTCAGGGGAGTGGGAAAACTCTACGTGGCGGATGCATCTGCACTGCCAGATTGGGCTCTGGCGGGACATCCAGATGCTGGGATTCGAGCTGTTGGTTCACTCGTGGCACAATTTGCCACACAAGATCTGCAGATCAAAAGGGTCGTGTGAGGCAGCGAAGATTTATCTCGACAAACCAAGGTTGGAGAAGGTTGTGGTTGATTCAGCAGAGTTGCACCTAGACCTAGCTATGATTTCATGCCTGGTTTTGACTCCATATTAATATCTTGGAACCATTGAGCCCGCTGCATTTGACATTTGATGTGCCATTCCGGAAATTCCGGTTCAAAGAGCTTGTTGCAAGCTCAGCAATAGACGCCGAGCTCAGCAAGCACAGACCTTCTGCTGTGGGGCCCTTAGTTGGTGAAGTCTCCAGTTTTTGTGTATTCGACTGTCATATGATATCCACTGTGGTATTTGAATCCCTTCTAGGTGACCTGGTCGCTTCTTTGTCCCAAGACAAATCTGGGTCATCCTTGGTGATTTTGTCATATTTTTTCTGAGTTCTGAGCCAATCTCAGGAGAAATGAAGTTGGTACTTGTGGTGTGCCTGGCGTTGAACGCCTTCCAGTCAGATGCTGCCTCCCTTCGCAGAAGTGGCCGAAGTAAGTTGACCTTCATCGAGGTGAGGGGAGTGTTCCAGACTAGCCATATGGCTCCCCGCAAAAGATATGTGCAAACGCGAGTCACCATCAGTTTTTGTTCAAAATTTGCGGCTGCGATTTTTTTTTGGTGCAACTTCCCCAGTACGGTCACCATCAGATGTACTTTTCCAATCTGTTTGGTGAGCTCTTAGAGTCACTTAGTCAACAAACCTGTCTCGAAAAAAACAACCAGGGAAGGTTGATGATTTTCCTTGTTGCATATCGGGATTTTTCGTTGCCAGGATTGTTACTTGATGGTTGCAGTTTTTGAGTTGATGACAGTGAGAAAGTGCCGCAGGAGCAGATGACCATGCAGATGAAGCTCATGATGCCTGAGAAATCAACGTTGAACAACATTGAGGCGCAGTTGCAGGATTTAGTCTGTAGTGCAATCTGACATTTACATACATTTACCAGATATAGATAGATATAGTATCAGATATAGCCTGATATAGCCTGATATAGCCATATAGCCCGAGTCAGAGATGATTCCCATCTCGCAGGCATCAGTTCTTAATATGGCTCGTGCCAAGAAGAAGCAAAGCAGTGGTGGATCCAACCTGATCGGGCCTTAGTTGTGGCATGTGGCAGCTGGTGGCACGGCACCCGGCATTATGAACCTCTGATCGTTTTTTGGGGATTACTATGATTACTTCCAAAATAGTGATAACAATAATAAATAACATACTATTAAATTCGGTACCAATACTACTGGTAAACTAGTGGTTCTTGATTCTGGTTCGAAGGATGGGAAGGAGCGCACTGCAGGAACTATTTTTGTCAGGAGTGTAGCAACTTTTGACAAAGGAAAGCGCAGCACAAGAGATGTAGTGTTGTTTGTGTTACTTTGAGTTGTGTGTTTGAAAAGATGTTCTGACCTGTTACATGCATCACAACCTATCCAAAGGTGGAGATGGATTGGTTCTCCCCCATCGCCTGATCTGGCGATTGGATGTAGCACACCTCTTGTTTCGCGATTGTTTCCATGATGATTACATGCCACCTGAGTTATCAGAAGATGAAAGCCCAAAGCGGCAAGCAGTTCATAGGTATTCTAACTTTGTTCCGTGCAGGTCTTGATTTGTAACTGCTCTGTCTTTAACCTGGCAGCTTTGGGTTTGACCTCCTTTTTCCCCAGCAGAGTAAGCTAATGGGGTCTTCAGCCCAGAATAGCTCCGGTGTGCACTGGTGCAGGCGCCGGGTCAGGTTTAACGAGGTTCCGCAGAAGGTTCCGAAGGATCCGGAGAAGGTCTGGGAGGCTTTGGTGCAGAGCCAGTTCAACAGGGTTTCGGAGAAGGTTCCGGAGAAGGTTCCGGGAGGCTTTGGAGCACGCTGAGGTGTTTCCAGCGCTTGGCTTCGCAGCATGCTTCAGAAAGATTTGTAAAAATAAACGGCTGCGGCTGTTGGGGGATACCACCGAAGCCTTTTCTCATTTTTGTTGAATGCTGTAGTTCTTCTTCCCTTCTGTCTTTACAACACTCACTTCCCCATTTCTGGTTGTAGATCCTGACTCTCCGACCCGCTACCAAGCGCTACACGATCTCCGAGCGAGGACCGCATTCCTGGATCAGATCCAGGCCTTGCTGGAGGACACCATGAAGAAGAACATCCTGCAGCGTAAGGAGCAGACCCAGTATGATCTCGATGGTTCCTACGCCAATCTCAGCACCTGCACCCATCCCAATGATACCACCCTGGTGAACACCATTGCAGAGCTGGATGAAGAGCATGTGAAGTGCCGTGGGGAGCAGGACAAGGGCTGGGTCGGTGAATGTGACAAGATATCAGTGGGGCGATTTCAGAGTCGTCAGCGAGTTGTGGGTGTTGATGTGTGGTGTGACTTGTGCCAACATTTTGAATCCTTTCTGAAGTCTCGCTGCATTTTTCAGGATGTGATGTGGTCTGACTACGATAGCACCTGCATCGTTGCGCGCACGTGCCTCAGGAAAGATGCAAAACCATCGCGTTAGGGAAAGACGCTGTAGACCGTAAATTACCCTCCGATAGTCCAACATGGCAATGGGAAATTCTGTTTTGGCCCTGTAAAGGTGAACATCATCTATAACTGGGTAGACTTTTCCAATGCCACAGTTGATTGCCAGAGAGTTCACCCAATCACCCGTGGCTTTTCCAGCTGGCTACAGGTCAGATCTTTGAGAATGAGAGGAAAGCCCTTTGCGATGCATATGAGCAAGCCCGGGTTTTTCCAGCTCCCGCCACCACATGCGTCATGAACGAGGGTACTCCAGTTGCTTGGTTGGGTTAGATTCCGAACGAAGGAGAAATAGGAAAGTGAAACAAGCCTTTTTAAACATTGACAGGGATAGGACCTCTCCTATCCGTTAACCTGCAGGTTCCGACCATCGGTCACTACCTGATCGATATGGAGAAGTACTTCTCTGACGCATATGATGCGCTTTACCTGAAGAAACAAAGATGTGACATTGCCATGGCCACGCCCTTCCCGAACGAGGAGCTCTGTGGGCACAAGATTTGCCAGTACTATGCTCCTCAGCATAAAAAGAAGGAGGTGTTGACAGGATTGTACGGCTTGGGTTTGTGTGAAATTAAAGTACCAACAGTTACAATGGATCATCATTGATCATTATTTTTTCCGATATTTTCCGCACATACTGTAAAAAATGGAATTTTGGGGTGCAACACACGCCTTTTTTTGGACCAACTCATGGGAATGGTAGCACAGTCTCGCCGATCGTTGATTGTTCGTGAACGGGTCGTTGGCTTGGAATCACAGCACTCTGGGATCCCAAACCGCCGCAACCTGAGGATAAAGAGATCGAGTGCGACAAGAAACAAGAAGCCTTTGAGTTGCCAGCATGTGATGGTCACAAGAAGTACACTTGCGGCAGCTTGGCGGCAAAATGGATGCTGGCCCTTCTTTTTCGAGATGGTGAAGCTGTGCTTGCGCGTTTGGGAGTGCTTGTATCAGCTTTTTTCCTGGTTGTATTAGTTTACATCTGCATTATTAGGATTTTTTTGGTGGATCATTGTGGGCATGATCCCAGTATTTCCTTTCATTGCAGGTGAAGGTGATATCGCCCAGTCTTGTTGATTCCTATTCCATTCTTGGTTGATCAATTTCCAACTTTTCAAGGTAAAAGGCAAATTTTGCTTGATTTTAATAAAAAACCACAGTTTTGTTCGTTCTCAATTGCTGGTTGTCTCCCAGAGTCCGCTAAAGAATTGCTAAAAAGTGAGGTCACTACACTGACTGCTATGCTGAGAAGAAGGCACCAAGCATGTCACATTGAACGGAAAACATGACTTCTTTTTCCATAAATGGGGATGGTCATCTGGAAATGCATAGGGAATTCTACTAGCCAATAATCAGCCAATATAAGGAACCCCTGATGATAGGGAATTCTATGTAACTTGACCATGGCAGGGATGCTCAATCCATTGGTTTCTCTTCAACATTGTAAGCCAGGATGTCTACGACAGCGTCGTGACTCTTGCTCAAGAAAATGAAGTGGCGAACAAGGCCGAGTGGCGAGCTGTGCTCAGGCGCAACCCTGGGTTATGGCAATTTATGAAGGCCATGAAACGTTTCCATTTGCATCGGTTTGCAACATATATCGAAATCTAGCATTGGTTTCAACCTCTTCCCCCCTAGGGGATCAATTTCTGGGAGGAGACATGAGGCACGATGTCACGCACGATGTCACTGATGTCACCTTGCTACTCAAGCCATAGATGTCCGCAAACCGTAACTGACCTGGACAGCGAGGATTGAGTGTTTCATCAACGCACTCCGGGAAACGGAAGATGAGCTCGAAGCTGCCATTGATGCCTGCCGGGCCTAGGCCTCAGGATTCCAGGATCCAAATCGCCAACACATCTCCCCATAGGCAAAATTCAGATAGATGACGATGGATTTCCATTATTATAAATTATTATAAGGGTTGTACATGATGAATATGGATGATAAATGGACTTTGATACTTTGATGATGTTTTTTGGTGTTTTTTTCCATGTTACATCAGTACATCAGTTACATCCATAGTTCCAGCACAGTGAAGTGCCGAGGCCAAGACCTTCAGTACGGCTCCTGTGGAGCTGAAGTACCATGGTGCCGCTCCAGCCGCACGAAGCTGCACTGAGGTGCTCGATTGGTGGATGGCGATGGGTTTTGCCCAAGAAATGGTGTAATTTGCCACCCCTCAATGGCAAGACGTTGTGGCGTTTTTTGAGCATTACACTATGGCAGAATTTCATTTCCGCTGCTCCGAACCAGCAACAGGTTTCTCAACGCAAAAGCTGCTCTGTGCAAAAGCTTCTCTGCGTGGAAGCTCCTGTGTGTAAATAGATGGTTTGCCAACATATCTAACCCAGCTAGATTCCATGGACATTGCTTGTCCGACTGTCACTCACGTGCTAGCCCTGGACGGTATCATCTGTTGTGCACCCAAAGTCCCGTGGTTGATCCGCATTTTTCTTTTCTTCCGTCCAAATTGCAATTTAGGTAAATAGCCACAGCAATTGTTGGCGAACTTCGGTGAATTGGTGATATGTCAGGTGTATTTGCAGCCGGGCTCTGCGGTGTTCTCCAGCGCTTGGTACGCTGGACTGTCCACAGCCACTCCTGCTGCCAGCTGCGCATCCGCGTGCCTCGGTTTTTTTGGGTTTGGTGGAATTGGATCAACATTTCTTTTGGACACATTGAAAAAAAACTGAAAAACATGGATGAATCGGATGAAACAAACAGCTTTTTCCATGCTGATGGATATCGGTTTTGGTAACTGAGGTGCTGCATGGCTGAGGAGTTCAACCCCGGATACCCCGCAGGAGCTAATTGTCCTTACGTCCACGGCGCCGCCGGGGCGAACTTGGTGGATGCCGCCACCACCACAGAGTCGACCACCACCACCACGGAATCCACCACGACCACCACGCTGGCCAGTGGTGGCCGCCGCGGATTCCGGTGAGTAGATTGAGTAGATGCCAATCGGAGAATGAAACTGTTGGCAGAATCAAAAAAAAGGGGCTGCGACTGGAGTTTTGCGGTTGTTTTTTGCGGTGGACTGTTGTGCATGTTCATCAGAATCCATTTGATCCATAGAGGGCGAGGAACAAGGAGGTCCGGTGTTTGTTGAGTGGTTCTGTTTGTCTTTGTTGACGCTTTGGCTCTTCTTAAGAAAAGCAGACAAAATATATGTTGACCCAACATTTGGAACGAACTCTGAGCAACAATCCTCCAACACTCACCAGGAACTGAAAGCAACAAAAACTGAATTTACAGTATCTCCACACTTTCTACACCGACATGAATGCATTTCAGAAAGTATAGAAAGTCAGATTGTATCGACCTGAATGATCTGAATGTATTCTACTTGAAGATCAAAGATGGAAAGTGAGCTGCCAAGAGCTGCAGACGCATGGCTGGCTGTGGTGATATTTAGCAAGGACCGGCCCTGTCAGTTACTGTGCTCGCTGGTATCTTTGTTAAGGCACGTGCGAGGAGTGGCGCTGGACATTTCCGTTCTGTATAAAGCTTCGCAGCCAACTTTTGCGGAATCCTATTTTGTTGTGGAAAGTTTGTTTCAGAGACGCCTCTATCCCTCCTTTGCCCCGGTGGAATGGCATTGGATGGAAGAAACAGACGAGACAAGCCTGGGCAAGCTTCTGGACAGTATGCTTGCCAGAGTCCGTGAAAAGACAGCAACCGTTCTATTGACAGTAGATGATGCTCTATGGTTCAACGATTTTAATGCTGCAGCTGCAATGCAGCTGCTGAAGAGCGACAATCGAATCTATTCCGTCCATGCGAAGCTGTGTCCACGCATTGAGTATGCGCATCCCAACGACAAGTTCATGAGAGTTCCACCTTTCAGCCATTTCAGCCTTCATCAGTCCACTGATTCCAAGGAGGAAGGTGAGAAAATCAGCCCTGACTTGCTGGTTTTTGAGCGGGAGAAAGGAGAGTACGATTGGAACTATCCATGGGAGTTGAGTGCATCGTTGTATCGCTTGGAGTCAGTAGAGGAGGTCATCCAGGCGATCAGATCCGAGTTTGGTTCTGGTGCCGTGGACCATCCAAATCACCTTGAGGGATATGGTGTCCGGCTGCTGAAGCAGCAGAAGTTGCCGTCTGCCAAATCCTCCAAGTACTGTGCGTGTGTGACAGATCCGGTGGTAAAGGTGGTCACCGTCAACCGGGTGCAGAGCTTGTTTGACAATCCAGTCTATTCACAGTCACTGCTTGATGTTTTTGAGGATTTTTCTGTTGTCCATCCTGAATAGTTTTTTAAATATATATGGCTGGGCATATCTTCATGGCTTGCTTTTCTGGAGATGAAGCAGCAAAAGCAATTGGACATCCAATGAATGACTGTCAGCAGACCTGTGATTGTTACTGTGGTAAACGTATGTAAACGTGATAAACCACAAAACAATCCTCAAGTTGGAATTTGTTCTCAAACCAAAACCGATTCAAAGAAGTCATTGGGGATAGCTACCGATAACTGTGGTTGTTATCAACCTATCAACCGATCGTCCTATCAACCTATCAATTTGATCTATATGTATATTATATAAATATAGTATGTATCTATAAATACTATATATATATACACACACTATATACATATACAGTTACAATATATATATATACATACGTTTATACAATTTATATATACGTATATTATATATATACTGTAATGTATTGATGGCACCGAAACCAGGTCAGATGGTTCTGAGATTTCCGTGGATGAGCTGGACCAAGTGCTGCGTTACGCCCTGCTACAGGCTGGCCTGGCAGATGGTGATGCGGCCGCAGATGTCCTGGCGCAGAAGCTGCAGGGCTCTGACGGCTGGTGGAAATCATATTTGAAAGGCAGGGGAATGTCACCATCAATGGATTGGTTTACGGGAAAGTCTGCAGCAAACCATAGTTTTTCCCATGAAATATGGTTCTTTCCTGTAAAATGTCCTTTGAACCAATCCAATGACACCAGTGTTTTTCTGATTTCTTCAACAAATATATGATATATATATATATGATATGGTATGGTATGATACGATATGTATATAGTATAGTTATATCAAGTATCTTTGTGCAGGTAATGTATGTATTGATATGTATTGTATGTAATGTATGTGTACGTCATATATGCCATGTATTTAGCGTAATGCAAGGGAAGGCAAATAGGATTGTAAATGTACATGCAAAGTTAAATTTACGCTAAAACCAACCCTTAAAAAACCAAAAACTAAACCTAGCAAAAACCCTAAACTAACCTTAAAACATCTTAAAAACCAATCCTAAATGAACCCTAGTTGCAAACGACCATTACATGAACAATTCGAGCACCACAATGTTGCAAATTTCATCGAAATGAGAGGTTCGAACTCAAACATGTTGTAAATACCGTTGAAATCGCAGCATCCAGCTCCAAATGCTGCAATAGCACCAAAATGTTGCAAATTCCATGGAAAATGGAAGGTTCGAACTCAAAAATGCGCCAAATACCCCTTCCACCTCCAAAATCCTGTAAAGAGCAAGGAAAATGGACAGAACAGGAAACCCAAGAAAAAAAAACAAAACAGGAGAAAAAACTTCCCAAAACAATTTCAGATCCAATGTAAAATGCAATGTAAGTCACTGTAATGATTGCAATGTCGTGCTATGCAATGGAATGTATTGCAATGCAACGGAATTGAATCGAATGTATGGCAATGGGGACGGTATCGTTGGGTATGGGCATGGCGGTGGCATGGCAGGGTATGTATGGTACGGTACGATATGCGTAATTTGTATGGATGCATGTAATATATATATAATCTCTCTCTCTATAATATATGTATATATACATATGAATATACATACAGTATATTATGTGTGTGTATATATATATATTAATTTGTATATATATATATATTAATATGTATATATATATATATATATTTCCCTGGGGATGAACATCTCTTGGCCTACCAACCATGGTACCCAAACTTTGATTTAGAAGGTGTCGAAACTCTGGAACTTCAACCTTGGACCCGGAACTTTGATTTGAGTCGCCAGTGGCCGCCAAATCTTCTCAACCGGGTGGCCATGATGTATTCAACCACATATTTGGATAGCGTTCATGTGCCTTTGCCATGCACTATGGTGAACATGGTGGCCATGGTGGCTATGGATTGGACCAGCCCTGACTTTCAGCATCCAATTGTCTCTTGGCTGATGCCTGTCAAGGACACCCCGTCGAAATGGTTGGATCTGGCGCTTGACAGCATCGAGCGACAAGAGGGGATGGTTCCCGGAAGTTGGGAGTTGATCGCGGTGGATGATGGATCTTCCCAGGTTGAAACCAAAGAAACCTTGGCGGCATGGTCCAAGAGGCCATTTATTCAGGTGATTGAGGGCCTGGCCACTTCTGGAATCGCGGCTGCACTGAATGAGGGCTGGAAGAGATGTCGTGGGAAATACGTGGTGCGTTTGGACGGGGACGATTGTGCCCATCCGCAGCGTTTGAAGAAACAGATTGGGTTCTTGGAAAACCATCCATCCATCGCAGTTCTCGGTGGTGGCTTCTGCACCTTCGAGGACGGTGATCCTCGAAGCCTTCCGGCATCGTCGTTGAAGAGATATCGCATGCCGTGTCATCCAATCCTGACCAGATGGCGGATGATTTTTTCCTGCTCCTTGGCGCATCCTTCCGTCATCTTCCGGCGGTCGGTCTTCGACAACGGGAACAGTGGACCATATCCGGAAGGAAGGGAAGCAGAAGATCATTGGTGCCTGGCTTGTGGTATTTCTGCTTGTGTTTCCATCCTCAAATGGGATGATTAGATACCTAGTGACCTAGTGAGCATGTGTTCGTTTGTAATTTGATAGTCTTGGGCCAGGATGGAATCAAAAACCAGTAACCAAGTCATTCAACTATATCCCCCACTTCCTTTCATGTGGATTCATTCTGCACATTCCATCCCCAGATTTTTCAACAGAGATATCACTCCAGCTACTTCTTGGTGTTTTTCCTGGGTCCGTTGTTTTTTTTTGGGTTCCTTGGAGCAACTGCAGCAACTTCCCAGGTGTTGGCTATCCTTAGCCCTGGAGCTACCTATCGCAAACCTGGCAGACGTGCTAAGTTTCCTGCGTCGCCATAGAGGCTCCAGGAGTTCTCAGGCCGCTGAAGCCCTGCAGAACTCGTCCTTTCAGGCGGTGCAGAGTTTTCTTCGAAGCTTTCAGCTGGAATTGAAGGAAGAAGATGTGAAGGTGCTGAGTTGAAGTCAGTTGGGACAAGATAGACAGATTGAAGTTGATTGAAATGGTTGAAAATTAGGAACTGGACTTGTTGATGGGTCGGATTTGGTGGCTCGAAGTAAGCAAACTATTTGCAACACTATTTTTTTCATGGTTCTTGTATGTTCTTGTTGACATTACAGTCCTTCGTTTAGTATCTGTGGTTGTCTCAAAACTTGGAACGTGATTCTATCCCATTCTTTTTCATCAATATCTACATTGGAATTGCTAGGTTTTCCATTGAGACAAACTAACATTATATTGTTGGTAGTATCCCACCATAGCCCAAATAATTTACTGTACCTCCATAAGATGGCTGGCATCAGCACCAGGTCTTGTGGGGCAAGGCGAATGCAGATTCTGCAGAACAGGTGGATAGAGTTTCGAAGGCCCTGGATACACTGGAAGCGGCATTCTTGAACATGGTCAGGACGGGCACCACTCCGAATCCAGGATTTGCTGATTTTTTCTTTTGATTTTGTCACGTTTTGCATTGATGAATCTACCATAGGGTCTAGTGGAATCGAATAATCTACCAGAAATGGTAGATCTACTGCGAACGTCTTGGATTTTCCTTGGCTCTTCAAGTCCTTTCCAAGGAATGGCCAGCACTTTGCGGAGGGCTTTGATGAAGACTTTCTGAAATCGAGAAGGGCGGCCTTGGTGGATTATGTCCCTTGGCGATGGAAGGTCCCGAACTCCGAGAGGGTTTTGAAGTCCTAAACTTCACTCGTAACTGGACCAGCTAAACATCAGAACTGGAACAGTTACTGAGATTTTTTTTGGGGCATTCTTTTCAATTCTTGATGATATTCCATTGTCTTTCTCAGATTTTTGGTTGATGAGTAATATATGTATGTATGTATAGTATAACATAAGATAACAAGACATAATATAATATAGTATAGTATAGTAAAGTACAATACGATACGATACAATACAATATGATATAATATAATGCAATACAATACAATACAATGTAATACAATGTAATACAATGTGATATATAGTGATATGATATGATACAATATAATATAATGCAATACAATGTAATATAATATAATGTAATGTAATGTAATGTAATGTCATATGATGTAATATAAAATAAAATTATATAATATCATAACAAAATAACATAATATAATATATAATATATAATATATAATATATAATATATAATATATAATATATAATATATAATATATAATATATAACATATAACATTTAATATATAATATATAATATAAAATATAAAATATAAAATATAAAATATAAAATATAAATATATAATATATAATATAAAATATAAAATATATAATATATACTATATAATATATGATATATGATATATAATATATAATATATGATATATGATATATAATATATAATATATGATATATGATATATAATATAATATAATATACTATAATATACAATAATATACTATAATATAATATAATATAACATAATATATATAATAAATAATATATAATATATAATATATGATATATGATATATAGTATATAATATATGATATATGATATATGATATATAATATATAATATATGATATATGATATATAATATATAATATATAATATATGATATATGATATATATATATATTATATAATATACAATATACAATATACAATATACAATACAATACAATAATATACATGCATTGACCATCATCGATCTTGGTTGTATCTTTTCTCTCCACTGATGTGCTGATCTGACCCCAGGTTACCTCATCCTGCAGCCGGTTGAGAGGTGGCTTTGGGATCACCAACCACTTGGGGGCTGTGGGAGAAATCAGAATCCACGAATTCGCTGGGTCAAAAAAAACACGGCCATGTTGATGGGAATATATGGGAATCATGCGTCACGTTTGCTGGTTTGCATTTCTCCTGCAGGTGCTTTAGCACGGGGCCTCGGTGTCATCCGACTGATCCTGGAAGATGAGGGACCAGCAACGACAGAAAATTGGTTATCTATTGCCAGATTTGCCAAAAATTCTGCCATTTTGCTGGTTGCATCCCACTTTTTGCGAGCTCGAATCATTCTCAGTCTTGCAGCAATTTTGCTAGCTACACCAGTGAATTTCCATATGCACATTTTTATACATGCAAGTAAGTGTTTCTCACATTTTGCATCCCACTCAAGTTGACATGTCAAATCGGACAGTTCGCTATATAATTGAAATGGTTTCTGTCATGAGCTATATTTATTGGATGACTTTTTGGGATTATGGATTTTTGGGTCAAGGTCCCAGGTTTTGCTTTGCCAACATCTCGAGGCCGTGCAATCTTTGGCCTCGGGTGAGGTGGACGTGGGTGCTGCGATGATGAAGCACTGGCTGAAGGCACGGGAGACTTTTAGAAGTTTTAGAAGACCCAACTGAGTAATCTGTAGTAACTGGGCTTGAAGAGTTTTGAATTTGGCCCCGTCCAGAAATTCTGAGTTTGCAATTTGCAAGATTCATTCGTATTGGATTCGTTGATTCTAGGGCAATGCGGCCAACTGGATCAGAAATCCGAGATTGTCACTGGAGGTTCTCCCCAGGTGGCTCTGTAGTGGAAACATGACATAGTTGGTAATGTGGTAAATCAAATTGTAAATCATTAATCATATTGTAAATCATATAATAAATAAACCATCATAAATCATCATAAATCATCCCATTCACCAACCATTAGGGGGTTACATCAAATCGGATCGCCTCCATCATTTCGAGGGCGGCGATGCTGGTCTGAAGAGCTTGGGCGCCTTAATCCAATCCGGCTACTCGACACAGTGACGCGCCAAAACGGGATGAGCGGCTGAGTGATGGTTGAAATTGGTTGAAAGAATCCTAAGAACATGTCCGTTGCAGTTCGTTGCAGTTGCTACAAACAGGAGGTCTTGAAGTCTGACTGTGATGATCCTTGGGAATTGGTCTGAGCCGCTTTAAATGGCTGTATGATGCTGTATGCATCTTTCTATCGCTTTGCACCTTCCATGCAAAACGCTTGCTCATTGTATGTGCTGGTGTGAAAACTTGGCTCTAAGCGGCTACGTAGAAATCGGTTGCTAGCAGTAAGTAGATTATCTCTCAGCCATGGGAAAGAAGAGCTATCAGAACTATGGCAAGACCTTCCGTAAGCCCAAGAGGCCTTTCGAGAAGGAGCGTCTTGATGGAGAGATGAAGATCATTGGTGAGTACGGACTGAAGAACAAACGTGAGGTGTGGCGTGTGCAGTATGCCTTGGCCAAGATCCGAACTGCAGCCCGAACGCTGCTGACCCTGGAAGAAAAGAGCCCAATGCGTATCTTCCAGGGAGAGGCCTTGCTTCGCCGCATGGTCCGCCTTGGATTGCTCCTTGAATCTGAGAAGAAGCTCGATTTCGTGCTGGGCCTGACCACGGCCAAGATCATGGAGCGCAGGTTGCAGACCAAGGTCTTCAAGTTGGGCTTGGCCAAGTCCATCCATCATGCTCGCACTTTGATCCGCCAGCGCCACATCCGTGTGGGCAAGCAGATCTGTGACGTTCCTTCCTTCTTGGTTCGCCTTGACAGTGAGAAGCACATTGACTTTGCCCTGACCTCGCCATTTGGTGGAGGCCGCCCTGGGCGTGTGCGCCGCAAGATGATGGCTACCAAGGGCGGCGGCGGAGGCGGCGATGAGGAAGAGGACTAGACTCTCCATCATTGAAGGCCTGGGTGCAGATTTTGTCCGTTGTGTGTTGGAAGTTCCTTAAACTCAATGCTGTAGTTTTTAACATCGCACACAAAGGGTGGATTTCCAGATCATTGGTTCCCACACCATCTGTTCTCTAAAACGCATAGGAATAGGCCCATGGTCCATGCAATGAAATGGGTGCATCCCAAAGGGCTTACCTGTTTTTAGACGCACCCATGGAGGCACGGCCTGAACGCTAGCCGCTTCATTCTCCAGTGCCATATCTGAGTGGGAGATCAAAGCATTCGTGCTTTTGCCTGTCGATTGAGACGGCAGATTTCAGAGGCAAGCAGCCAAAACACGGCTGAGCAGTTGCGTTGCAGTTGTGAATGCAGTGAGGCTCTGCAACTTGGATCCTTTTTGAGCCGAACAACACTACTTCTCTGAAACAGTGTTTTCCTGCACTTTAGTGGGAAGTGTTGGGATGAAAGCTTGGCATTGAGTAGAATTGGCAAATAGTTAAGATTGTTGCAGGCATTGAGGCAAGGTTCAGTGAAAACGTTGTTGTTTCGAATTGTCTGTGACCTACTCGTACAAGCAGGGACCATTCATGCCTTTTTGAACATCAACATTGATTCTGCTGATGCGTGCTTGTACCTCAAGCCAGCCCATTTGCATCAAAAATTGGTAGCCATAGCCGAACCGAGCCATGGGAAAGAAGAGCTATCAGAACTATGGCAAGACCTTCCGTAAGCCCAAGAGGCCTTTCGAGAAGGAGCGTCTTGATGGAGAGATGAAGATCATTGGTGAGTACGGACTGAAGAACAAACGTGAGGTGTGGCGTGTGCAGTATGCCTTGGCCAAGATCCGAACTGCAGCCCGAACGCTGCTGACCCTGGAAGAAAAGAGCCCAATGCGTATCTTCCAGGGAGAGGCCTTGCTTCGCCGCATGGTCCGCCTTGGATTGCTCCTTGAATCTGAGAAGAAGCTCGATTTCGTGCTGGGCCTGACCACGGCCAAGATCATGGAGCGCAGGTTGCAGACCAAGGTCTTCAAGTTGGGCTTGGCCAAGTCCATCCATCATGCTCGCACTTTGATCCGCCAGCGCCACATCCGTGTGGGCAAGCAGATCTGTGACGTTCCTTCCTTCTTGGTTCGCCTTGACAGTGAGAAGCACATTGACTTTGCCCTGACCTCGCCATTTGGTGGAGGCCGCCCTGGGCGTGTGCGCCGCAAGATGATGGCTACCAAGGGCGGCGGCGGAGGCGGCGATGAGGAAGAGGACTAGACTCTCCATCATTGAAGGCCTGGGTGCAGATTTTGTCCGTTGTCTGTTGGAAGTTCCTTCAACTCAAGTAGTTTTTGAATGTTTTTGACATCGCGCACTTTTTGGGTGGATTTCCAGATCATTGGGTCGTCAGAATTCATGGCTACGGCCCCTGAATCCAATAGGATAATCTCCTGAAGCTGTGGGATGACTTGGGGCCTCCCGAATCCTGCCAGGTCCGCGTCGTGAAGCAACGGGAGAGCTGGCTGGCACGGCGATTGCAAAAGAAATCTTGCAGGGGCGTTGCGCGAACGTAGCCGAAGCACAAACAGAAGTACAAGGGATGTCACGATGTGTTCTTCTGAATTTCAAACGTTAGGTAGAGTTGAAGATAGTGTCATTGCCATATTTTGTTTGCAAATTTGATGATTCCAAGAGCTGGCTTAAAGTGGCATTCTTAACAAGCATTGGAGTTGATCAATACAATGTGGATTATGAACCTTTATCGCACACCCGAAAGATATCAAAAGATCTTTGCTGCCAGTACAAGATTCCATGAACAGCTTTCTGTGACGGACAGGCAAGTTCTGATTGACCTTGCAAATGACTAGCATACTGTTCATGCGAGATACCTCATGACTTGGTTTCTGGGAAGAGCAGTTTGTTGAGACAAGGGCACAGCGCAGTTCCAACCTGTTCAAATTGCTAGCAACTTCTGGCTCAAGAATGAGCCGTCTTCCTGACAGTGGCTTTGCTGGAATTGGACGTAACTTGGCAGTCAAACTTGGATGACCCTGGAACTAATTACAATGGGATATCTATAATTATATAGGGGATAATATAAACAACTACCATGCTTGGATACTACTTTTTTTCCGACATACTTTTTCCATCTTCGCTAGCAAGCGAGCCCAAGTCAATCAATCAAATCCCAATCACACGGGCTACTTTTCGCTAGCTCAGTGCTAATCTTTTACTCGAAATCAACTTTTCAAAGTTTCGGCAGTTGCGTACTAGCAGAAATGGACCTGAGACATGCTAAGTTCACATTTTAGAGATGGTTTTAGAGTACGAACAAGACTTTCAAACAAGAAGCACATAGTCACCCTGCCAGGCATTTCAACGCTTTTGTGATCATACAGTTTTGGAAAAAACTTGAAGCCACACACAAAACAGCTGGCCAACATGTTTTTCTTTTCATTTCTTTTTCGCTTTATATAGATATCATCAATCTCTACATTTTGTTTTTCATTTTTTTCCATTCCGGAATTTGTTTTTCGTATTTTTCCCTGTTGGTTTTCATTTTTTCCCATGTTGGTTGTTTTTGGTTTCGTTTTTTTTTTTCCATTTGCCCCTCTTGATCTGTCATTCATGCTCCATTCCTTGGGGAAACTAGCAAAAACTGAGGCAAATGGGAAACAAGACAAACATATGGAAAAATGAAAGCAACAATGGAATCCAAACTTGGGATAAAAAACATTGACAATTATAGCGACAAAAATGAAAACCCAAACGAAAAATGCAAATTGGTTTCATTTTCCAGTCTGTAGCTGCACCGGTTTTTTCTACGTACTGTACTGGAAATATAGTTCAGTCATACCTCAATTCCACACAAAATACGACCACACCCAGATGCGGGAAACATCATTTTGATAGTCACCCACGTGGATTTTGTTTGCACGAAAACTTCAAACATGGGAGACAGTTGCGAGACCAGCGTGGGTTACTTTCCACTTACTCGCTAAGGCAGATACCTAATATAATGGGGATGAATGGAATCTCCGAGTGGAATTTGATCCATTTTGATTTTGAGCGGAGGAATCATTGGCGGTATTTTGGAACAGGAAAGCATTTTCCAATTTTCAAGCTAGACATGCATTTAATGATGCACACTTTGAAATTTGATTTGGACATGTGCTTCTTGTACATAACTTGGTGCCGATTACTGGTACCATGCTTGTCCCACTTGACACTGTATCGAGACTCTGGTGGACCCCAAGCTTGTAATTTCTAAGATGAGAATCACATTCCATACCCATTTTTTTGATTCCATGCATATAGGATCTCAGGCTGCATTCCCATGCTTTTTGCATGTGACTATTTCTCGTTGCAAACCACTCACACCACCCCATTGCGCAGAGTACCTGTGACACCAGCAAGGGCCCTCCCCTGTTATCCACCAGAGAAATGACATGGAACAGTACTGGAGAGAGGCCTATCAGATCCTATCAGTAGCCAACAGAGGGTGTAGATACCTGAGATAGCCAGTGGGTGATTTGGAAAATAGCTCAGTGATAGCTGAGTCAAAAACATTCGCAGGGTAGTGATGCCTGCATGCAACCGTGATGGTATGTGACCCATGAAACTCCCAGGACATTCCTCTGCTCTGAATGGGTCGCCAGATCCCTTGATGGAAATCGATCCCAGCCCCGAGGACGGCCAGCGGATATGGCAACCTGGGGTGATCTTGGTTTCGTGGTTTCAAGTAGCATCGAATATCTACGTATTCTTGCTGGTTTGAGGGGGGGCCCAGGATATTTCGCTGATATTTGCATATATTTGCAGATTTTGCAGGTTGAAACAACTTGAAAGCAACCAGCCTTAAACCAAAGCCACATCACTTACTTCCTGGATCAACCATTGCCACTTTCCTATCGTTTTCGCAGTCCATCGCTATCTGCAAAGATGCTTCTACTTTCACAAAAAATCTCTCGCCTTATTTTCCGTGTAGGTCCTATAGGTTTCAGAATCTCAGGAGCTACATGGAGAGTAGCAGCATCCCAGGCGATGATGCCATGACCATCATGACCTGTGACTTTCAGAAGGGAGATGAGATCGAGGTGTTTTACCAGATGCCTTTCGCCGAGGACCACGGCAACGAGCGCATCGATGTCGTGGGTGACCGCTGGATTCTGAGTGTGACCCCTTCACTGGGCTCCAATCGTCCGCGACTGGGCTGGACGCAGCGCTGGCTACCAGCTGTGGCGAAGGAGCTACAGTATGGTGGCAGTAGCGTGGAAAGTGTTCGGTATCAATGGCAACTGCAGCACTGGTATGACTGGGCCACTGGAGAGCACATATCAGTGACCAAAGACCCACATGCACTGATGGCAGAAAGTGGGATTCAGCACGTGCGAAAACGGACAAAAGATGCTTGGAAAGTTCCCAGCCGAGTGCCATGGACATCCAATCATTTGTATCCGAAATGCACAGAAGCTGGAGTTGGGGGTTGTGAAGTCGCAGTTTCTTTCATCGTTTTCCAGTGGGGCGCTGCCAAGATTCCCATCGACTATGATGCTCACTCCTGGGGTGAACGAGAAGGCTCAACAATTTCCAACTGCTTCATCAGGAGCTTTTTCCGGGATTCGGTGCTTCCAAAAGTGGGCTGCGACTATGAGGTCTTGACACTTTTTATCCAACAAAGTGACGAATTCGCCAAGATTTCCCCTGAGTTTCTGCTGTCGCTATGCCGGGGGCGAACCATTTGCGCGCTGTACTTCTTGTGGCCGATTCAGGGTCTTCAAAGTTATGGCGACTGTGCCAAAAGTTTCACAAGTTTTTGGTTCCCAACTCCCAACTTTGGAATTTCACAACAAGTTGGTTGTAAGTGTAACTCTTCTGTTGCTTCCCATCTCTTGTGAGTCGTTGGAAGTTCAGCCATTGATCCTCCCATAAGCCAAAATTTTGAGGTGAGCTGCAGCCTACTGCTGCCGCGTATGTGGAAGCTGATCTGCTGTTTCCCCTGGTGCAGCGAATGGAATCCTCTGGGATTCCCACCCGGTGGCCGCATCCCTTGCAGCTCTGGAAGTTGTTGACCTCCAAGGAATGGATGGCCCAGCTGTGCATCTGTCACTGGTTGGTGATTTCTTTCGTATTTTTTAAAGAACAGATTCAACTCTTGAATCCCCAAAATGGGATCCTGGGATGATGTCCCCCAAGGACTTTCCCTTTTTTGGGGCTTCCGCGACCTGGCAGGTGAGCAGTTTCAGATTCCCTTGACGACCTGCATTTCCAAGGGCCTGGTTCTTAGAGATCCGACCAAGGCTGCTCAGATGGCCCTGGAAACCTTGAGTATCTTGAAAAAGGACAGGAATTTGGATGGCAAGATGTCGGAAGTTGTGGCCAAGTTGGGTTATAGCTATGAAGGGGTTGATGTGAAAATGGTGGATGGCAACCAGCTGGCAGAAGCTCTGTATTTCTTGCTGACTCAGCCCAACTACACCAATGGCTCCGTTTATGTGCAGGAACGGATTCAGGTCAGCTGTGAGGCTCGATGTTTCCTGATCAACGGATGTATCCAGCAGATGTTGTACACCAGATTTGGTCGGATCGATGCACAAGGATATGTGAGGCAGGGGTGAAGTGTGTCGGGCAGCATTGCAACATCATCGGACTGGATGATTGGTTTCTGGTTGTTTCATCGTGGTATAGGGAGGGCATTTGAGTGATGTTGAGTCATGGGACACTGATCACCACCCCTTGATTTGTGCAGTTCTCCACGCCGGTCAAGATCCATCTGTTTGTTGGGTTGGAATATGTTACTACTATATTATTACCATTGATGATTACTATAGTACTATATTACTTACCATTGATGAACCATTACTAATCATTACTATATTACCATATATTACCATTACTCCATTTTGAAACCCCTGTTGAGGGAGTATGAGAAGGAATCCTCTGGCGATCGTGCCAAGAGAGATTGGTTTTCAGACGATAACGAAGCTTGGGGCGATGCCATGCAGCAAATTCAGCGCCTCTCTGATCGTTGGAACCTGTGGTTGTTGGCGCAGTCGGCAGAGAGGACAGTGTCAGTACGGATTCTGGGCTGAGGAAGGATGAGGAAGGGAGGTTTGTATATGCTGTTTTTGCAATGAAGGGAGGTTTGCATAGGCTGTCTTTGCCTCCTGTTCTCCACTACATGTTGAAGTCTCCTTCTCAGCGGCATTTGGTTCTACTATGGTTCGATTAGGTCCCATTGGGAGCCTCGCGACATCTACTGCTATCAACAAAATCCCAGACAGTAGTTCTTCACATACTACATGCATGCAATCACATGTACATATATATATATATTATATGGTGGTAAAACCCAATAGACTATCCCCTATATATATATGTATGTATATACATATATATATATATATATGTATATATACATAATATGAAACGCATCCGAAATGGTAGGTGTAAATTTGTGGTTTAGCGGAGTACATCCGAATGTTTGTGCCTTGATCGGTTCGCATCACTGAGGATTGACTATCTCCTGGAGCGCGTTTCTCCGGGCAAAGCACGGGTTTGGACAGGTGAAGTCGGTGAGCTGGGGCGCCTTGGCTGTTTTATTCCTCCGCAAGACTTGAGGTGTTGATGGTTTCAGCCAAATTTTGGTGACTGAAAAAAATGTGATGTTTGGATCCCCAGGTTGGGACAAGTCGTGGTTGAAGGAAGGCTGTGATTTTTCGATCAGGTGCCTCTTGTCAGGTACAGCACCAGCGGCTTGGATCCAGTACTTCTTTTTGATGCGGTGGTGGACTCCCTGTGGTAGCGGCCCGAGGCAGGCTGAATTTCAGGGATGTCATCCGTGTGTTGGGGGTCTGCAGCGCTCGGCGCAACAATACCTGGGAATTGTGAACAAACAACTGGAACTGGTCAATCTTTGCAGAATCTGATCTCAATGTGATGTGTGATTCGGGCGAGGTGCTTTGTGTCCAGGTAGGGGGTATCAGGTAAACTTTGGTCAACCCAGGGCACTTTGGGCATAAATGGGTTCACTTTGGGCATAAATGGGCTCATTTTGGCCATAAATAAGCTCCCTTTGGGCATAAATTGGCTCACTTTGGGCATAAATGGGCTCACTTTGGGCATAAATGGGATCACTTTGGGCATAAAAAGCAGAGCCACGACACCTTTTGGGTTTATCTGTTGTTGCACTTAATGTAAGAAGAGCCACGACACCTTAGGGTTTATATGTTGTTGCACCTAATGTAAGAAGAGCCACGACACCTTTAGGGCTTTTTATGTTGTTGCAGTTAATGTAAGAAGAGCCACGACACCTTTAGGGCTTATATGTTGTTACACTTAATGTAAGAAGAGCCACAACACCTTTAGGGTCAATATCTTGTTACATTTAATGTCAGGAGAGACACGACACCTTTATTCATGCCCAAAGTGAACCCATTTATGCCCAAAATGAGCCCATTTATGCCCAAAGTGAACCCAATTTATGCTCAAAAAATTATGCCCAAAATGAGCTCGAATTTATGCCCAACGTGAGCCCCTCGCCTGTGAAAACTCTGTGGCTAAAAAGTCTGCGGGTGAAAAGTCTGCGGGTGATAAATCTGTGGGTGAAAAGTTTATGGGTGAAAGTCTGTGGGTGAAAAGTATATGGTTGAACAGCCTTGGGTGAAAAGTATATGGGTGAGAAATATATGGGTGAAAGACGGTGGGTGAAGAGTCTGTGGGTGAAAAGTCTGTGGGTGAAAAGTGTATGGGTGAAAGTCTGTGGGTGAAAAGTATGTGGTTGAAGAGTCTTGGGTTAAAGTATGGGTGAGAAGTATGTGGGTGAAAAGTATGTGGGTGAAAAGTATATGGGTGAAAAGTATATGGGTGAAAGTCTGTGGGTGAAAAGTATGTGGGTGCAAAGCCTGTGGGTGAAAAGTCTCTGGGTGAAAAGTCTGTGCAAGAAGAGTTCTGGGTGAAGAGTCTCTGGGTGAAAAGTATACGGGTGAAAGACTCTGGGTGAAAAGTCTGTGGGTGAAAAATATATGGGTGAAAAGTCTGCGGGTGAAAAATCATTGGAGCAAAATAGGGGTAGATGGGATGCTGGCTTTCATTCCCCCCTTCTCCGGTATTGTTACCCTCTGGTAAACTAACATAACTATGGAAAATCACCATTTATAGTTGATTTTCCCATGAAAAATAGTGATTTTCCATAGTTATGTTAGTTTACCAGAGGGTATCACATGTGTATTCTTTTTAAATGAGGCATACACACACACACAGTCCCAATGAGCCATGTTTTTTCGCTTTACAATTTTACATCGGATCCAAGTTGCAGCTGTATTGGGGTGTCTCTGGTTTTGATCCTGCAGGTTTCGACTCCTGCAGTGTGGTGTGGTTTTCGGCGTCTTCGGACCTCGCTGGCCAGCCACGGTGGCATACGGTGGCCCTGAGGACTTTAGGGGGGCAAAATCTTGATTGATCTTCCAACCCACAGATCAGGGTTAATTTTGGTAGAGTAATTAGGGATTACCCACCTCTGTACCCGCGGAATCCCGGGGCACCGGGGTTCTTTCCGGAGTCTCTTGTGCCACTCTTCAGGATGGCCTGGTGTGAACATGGTGCCTGGGTCTCTGAGGCAATTCCTTGGCAGCACGGCAGCCCCCCAGTGCCACGAATTTGTTGAACTTTCTGCACCGCTTCCCTCAGTGCCAGTTGCCAAATGCTTTGCTAAATGGCTCCGCGGAGAATTTGTATTTTGGAAAAAGCCATGCCACGGCCAGAACAAACAGACATTTTGAGACATTTTGTGTATGATCAATTTTTAAGCTTGATTGCTATTCGAATGCCCTACCACCACAGCGATGTAGATCAACCTTAGCAGCTTTGCCAACTACTTGGCCAGCACTCTTAATTTTGTAGACTTTTCCGATGGGCTGTAAACAAACATATTAAGGTCTTGGTTTCGCAACTGGCCACTCCCGCTTTTGTAGACCTTAAAGCATGCTTGGGTCTTGCGTGCGATACTGATATTTTTGAACATTGGCTTTCAGATATTCTTCAGTTTCAACGATGGTGCAGTGTTCAAACACAAAAGAACACATCTCCATGCTCCATTTCTATCCATTTCCTACTTGTGAGAAGCGAGGACGGTTCAAGCGCCAATTTGGTGCGAAGGTCTTCATGTAGTCAGACGAATGCATGTCCTACCTCTGTTTGCATCCTTGTGTGTTGCCTGTCTTGCAACGCCCGGGGCCCCTGCAGCCAAGACACCGGAAAAAGATGTTGGATCTGAGGGTCTCAGAGTGCTTTCCGATGCCACTTCACCAGCCTAATCAAACAAAAAACTTTTTTTTTTTTAACCTTTTGAAACATATAGTCATATAGTGCAGTTTGGACAAACCCTATAAATGCCATTGCATTGCCAAGCAATGCCAACGCAAGTCTCAGAGATCCGAATGCACTGAGGCTTGGAAATGCAAGAGCTGTCGACCCGAGAGCTCACCTTAGCAACTCGGTCATACAGAAACTGCGGCCCCAGTGGATCCGATGACGTTTGTGAATACCCAGACACCATTGATGACGAATGGCCTGTGCCTCAAAACAAATCATTGTTTTCCCTCTGAAAAATCTAGAGAGCATGTTCTTGGTTTGCTCATGATTTATCAATATTTATATCATTTTCATTCCGAATGTCAACCCCTCTCCTGGACTTATAAACCCGTTCTATTTGACAGCAAATGTGATCACCAAATTTATCCCCTCGAACCTTTCTGGACCAGGGTCACAATTCATCCGGAGTTATCCAAGCGGGTTCAATGGGGCCTAGGGCCTAGGCGGGTTCGCCACCAATGTATGGCCAGTTCACCAGGGAAATTCATGATCAACCTGCGAAGCGAGGCTTCGCTATCGCTCCAGCCGGTGATGTAGCTCTCGACGAAGGTCGGTCCATTGACTTGGGACTACTTCCAACTTGGGGAGAAAACCAAGCGAAAATGATTGGGTAATCCCACTGACGAAATTTTGTTTTAGTTTGCCTATATGTAAAAACAAGAACATCAAAGATTTAGGTTTGCCTAGGACATTTGGGCATTGTGTTTGATTCAACTTTTGATCCATTTGATGGAGGATTTTTCCAATGATACCACTGTCACTAAAGACCAATCCTCAAAGGGCGATATTTTTTTTGTGTCCAGCCCCAGGTGCAGCGACATCTCCATCATCTCCTTCTGTCAGAAGTTGTGTAACAAGTCCAATCTCGAAGAGAAAGGCGCCAACACATGCAAAGATCTGGCAGAGGATGATTGCAAGAGTTTGAATTTTTACCGAAAAAATGGGGGTGAGATGAGACTGTGTGTCTGGCAGCCCCAATGGAAATGTACTGAAGATTGGACCACAGTGTGCATCTCAGATCGACCATGGAAATGTTCTAGCTCCCAAATCAGCACCATCAGTTCTGATCTTTGCGAATCAATCTGCTACAAGACCGATGTTCGCAGTATTGACACTTTTTGCCACAAGTTATCTCCAGAGGAATGTTCCAGTGGCCAGTTCTATGAAAGCGACAAACATGGCAATCGAAGACACTGTGAGATGTCTGGACGTTGTCGGACGTCATCCTTCTGCCCTGCTGAAAACGCCACCTGTCCCGGCAGCACGTTGTTTGACCATGGAGCGCCTCAGGCTCCCAGGGATGGGAACGTGACGGCTGAGATGTTGTCTCTGTGCCGTTCTATGTGTTACAAGACGAACACCGTGGTTTCAGGTTTGTCTTGTGCTGACCTGAGCTCGGCGCATTGCAGCAGCGGGCAGTTTTACGAAACGGATTGGCATGGTGTTCGGCGCTTATGTGTTCCTCTTGGAGACGAGTGTACAGCAGATTCATCGCATTCCTGTCCGCGATCCATAGCCCTTTGTTCAGATGACTTGAGCCAGAAATCTCTGCGCCGCTCCAGTGGGAATGAAACACCACCAGTCCCCACAGAGAATTCGTCCATGCAGTTCCAGAAAGCCTCAGCCCCGGTTGGGGAGGCCCCGGTGGTTCCAGCCTTTTGTTTTTCGCTGTGCGAAAAGACCAACACCCGCAGCATGAATGCCTCCTGTCAAGACCTTCCGGCGGCGTCCTGCGAGTCGGAGGAGTTTTATGAAACGGATCATGATGGAAGCAGGACAGGGACAGGGTGAACTGGGTGAACTAAAGAATTAGATCTTGGAACATGGTCCTGAGATGCCAAAATCGAATTGAGGTATTTCCAGGTACACCCCGACACTAAACATCAATTTTAGCCATAAATCGTTCTTCAACTAGCCGTTTTTTTCAAACACTGGCAGGAGACTTTGCCTTCAAAAGGGCGGCAAATGCATCACAGACCTCTCCGCAGTTTGCGAGGAGCATTTTCCCATCTGCAACGTCTCAGCTGCACCAAGTGCCCAAGCTGAAGCAGCAGATGAGTCTGAGCACTGCTTGTTGTATTGCGACAAAATCAACACCAGGACTTGCGCAACGGGTGTGTCTGAAATCAGGGATACTTCCTCAGTTATAGCCCTGGCTATTTTAATGGGGAAGATTATGATTACGCATGATTGACCACCAGCTGTATTCAAATGTTGGGGAATGTTTGTCAACGAATTGTTGTAGATCTAGACTACAAGGGTTTGTGTTGCTCCCAAGAGTTATTGACCCCGGACCAACAAAGGTGTCCCCTTCCGGAAATGGACCAACAAATGGGATCGGTTGACGATCGTTTTAACGGTTCTTACCACTCTCTTTAGAATCGACCTCACAAGATTGGATGAAAGACTCTGTTTTTCATTGTTTTTTGATGTGCAATCCCCCATACTTTTTGTGGTGAAATCTTTCTATGTGTGGCTCCCATACCCATTTTTTTGTGACACCCAGTCTCTCTATCGATCCAGGAGCAGGGGGCAATCCTGTGAAGCACTGTCTTCCTCTGAAACCCGTCTCCAAAAACAAGTTCCCTTTGTAGATCCCTTGATGTCCTGTTGCCATTGGTTGATGAAAAGCTTAGCAGCTAACCCCCAAATGAACAACCAAGATTTACAATCATGGTGAGTGATGGTAAGTGATGGAAATTGGCACATGAGACAGAGTTTCTATAGGATACGTGGGTATCGGATGGTATCGGATGGTGTCGGATCGTATCGGTCAGTTTATTGACAGATCATGTTGACGAGTAAGCCATCTCATTTGGGTACCGAAGTTCAAGATTCATACCCATGTCAAGAAGGACAAGGAAGCCAAGCTGATACACACCCGGGAACCGAACAGTCATTGATGATCGTTTTTGTGTGCTTGTTCTGCCAAGAAAGTGACATCTTCATCATCTTCTCAAAGCCAAACATGTTGAAATGGGGAAACATCCACATATTCATAGAATTAGATGATGGGAAAATTTACAGGAAAGCCCTATATTTGATGGTAAAAACCATGGTTTCCTGTAGATTTTCCCTTAAACCAATCCAATGACATATGCGTCCATGTTTGGGTTGCCAACACGGGTTCCCCTATCGCTGAGGACAAAGTTGAGCCCCGGACTGCCCCGGACCGAAGCCTCGCTGTTTTTTTTGAAGTTGTCGATCTTGATGGTTTCAAAGAAATCCAGCTGTTTCTGGAAGATTTGCAAACCAACATATATATATATATACACATTATATATATATATTATATTATATTATATTTTTATTATAATTCTTAGCTTCTAAGATCTTCCAAGCTTCTCTACCTGAGGAGTGCCTGAGTGGGATCTTCTATGAGAGCGACCACGATGGCAACCGCGCCATGTGTAGCTACGCTCCGTCGGGCTGCACCGGCAACGTCTCCACGACCTGCAGGGCGGAGCAACCCATCTGCCATGGGGCGGACGCGGCCACGAAGCCCAAAGGACCAAGGGGCCAGAGTTCATCCGTGGTGCCCTGGTGGAAGTTGATGGCTGGTAGTTACCTGGTAGTTGATGATGGTATGATGGTGCCCCCCTTTTTTACCCCCAAAAGTGTGTGTCCACACTGAGGGGTTCTTGCGGTAGGTGCAAAGGGCGGTGCTTGATCAGGGTGCTCCAGCTGATCTGCGGCATTTTACCTGTAAATTTCCGTATTAAGTATTAAGTGGCTCTTGTGAAATCTCCAACTGCATTTCGACTGTGCAGGCTCGCACAAAGTGTGTGTTCCGCTTTTGTGGCGCGGATTTTTTTCCTGTAAATTTCCGTGTGCAGTGGCTCTTGTGCAATGTTGAAGTGCATTTCGACTGCGCAGGCTCGCACGAAGTGTGGTCCCCGCTCTTGGTCTGACAATTTCCGCATAAAGTGGCTCTTGTGCAATAACCAAATGGATTTTGACTGCGCAGGCTCGCACAAAGTGCGGCCCCATTCTTGGGATATGTCCTCCTCCTCAACATCATCATCTTCCTCCCCTTGACCTCATCATCCTCAACATCATCAACCTCCACCTCATCTTCCGCAACATCAACATCATCATCCTTTTCATCCTCCTCCTCCTCAACATTATCATCGTCCTCCTTCTCAACATCACCATCCTCCACTTCATCTTCCGCATCATCATCCTCATCCTCATCCTCCTCAACATCATCATCCTCAACATCATCATTCTCAACCTCATCATCCTCAACATCTTCCTCCTGCACATCATCATCCTCAACATCATCCTCCTCAACATCATCATCCTCAACATAATCCTCCTGCACCTCATCATCCTCAACCTTATCGTCCGCAACATTACCCTCCTCCTCCTCCTCCTCCTCCACCTCCTCCACCTCCTCCTCCTCATCATCATCATCATCACCATCGTCATCACCATCATCACCATCACCACCATCAGCATCAGCATCATCATCATCATCATCATCATCATCATCATCATCATCATCATCATCATCACCATCGTCATCACCATCGTCATCACCATCGTCATCACCATCATCATCATCATCATCATCATCATCATCTTCATCATCATCATCATCATCGCTACCATTAAGATTATCATACATTATTCACCCACACCCCCACGCTGTTTGGGGTCTCTTGCCGGGATAGTTTGTGGTCAAGTTTAGAGAAAGTCGTTAGCTTTTGGAAACTGTGAGGAGTTGATGACCAAAACGAGAACATCAAAACATATTAACACCACAGCGAAAGTAGTAGACCAGCGGCATCCAACAGTCTGGCACTTGCCAGTCGGCATCTGATTTGCAACAACAACTTAACGCTTTTGCTCCGAGGTCAGATCCAGCAAGTTTGCAGCGCCTTGGACATCCAATGTTTGGTCATTTGGAGGTGTAGGTACCCAGTGGTTGTACCTCAGCTAGCCCCAGTAAGTTGGAATCCCCTGAATCAACTCACACCTAATCAGGCCATATGGGTCCATGATGAGTTTGATGGGATTCAATAAAACAAACCTTTCCAGGAAGAGATAGGTACTAGTAAGACCTGCGCTTTGGCTCAAGGTGCACTCTTATGGAAGTGCTTCACCCGCAGAGCCCTGGCTGCAGCTGTGAGCCTGCTGGGTTGCATCTTCAGTATTCATGAGCAGGTGGATTTTTGTTAAGACATTCTTGATTTTTGGCAAGCAAAGGCATGTGGGTTCTATGCACCATACAAGTAGTGTTTCTCGATTCTAGTCACACCCCCATGTGCAGTGGCCATCTGCCAACCATGAGCCAACTATGCTAGTGTAGGGCATCGTGTCATCGGAGTCTCTTCTAGGTGATGGGTAGGTGGCTGCTACTGTACTTGGTTTTCTGGGAATTTCAGGATTGATGATGCTTGATGGTTGATGATGGCTTTCTGCCTTCTTGTTTTAAAGGCAGGCCCCCAGCTGCTGGGAACTCCCATGGAAGCGTTGTGCGAGTTGTGCGAAGTGTGAACTTCCAAGGCGAATGAAGCCTTTGGCGGGCCCCCGGAGTCTTGGCTGGTGATTTCCGTGGGTTAATCAGCAGCAACAAACAACGCCGGAAAATTACCAACGGCAACGGGGCATCTATGGTTGGAAATCCTTGGCTGTCCACTTGCAACCGGGTTGTCACCCCAGCAGTTGGTATGACGTGGTTTTCCTTGAAGCTCTGTAGCTGGGGAATACAGGTGCCACGCCGTCCCAAGGCAGTTGAGAGTTTGCACAGTTGTGCCTCGATCATCAGTTTGAAAATGCCAGGCGCTCAAGATTTTCTGCTTGTGCAGCAGAGATCCAAGTGTGGCTGACTTCTCAATACGGGAGTTTTGTCATTTTTACAATAGTCCGTCTCCAATATGAGTTTGCTGCCCACAGCGTTTTGGAATGAGTCAGGATGTGATGTGGCGAACCTTTCTTCACCAAGGTTCTTGACAAATTTGGCGCTGGTGGCGATTTGTACTTCGACATACTGAAGCGAGCCGACCAAAATGACTGCAGCCTTTGGTCGCTGTCCTCACGTCCTTCAAAGCAGCGCTGTTGCTGCGCTCGCTAGAGCATGTCCTTCTAAATTGTGAACATCATGAACACATCACATCTTGAGGGAAGGGGGTGTGTGCACACTAACCACCATCCCACATTATCATACATTATCCCGGTTTGTGAGGGTGAGCGATTCCTTGGGGACCGATGGCTGCGAAGTCTGGAATCCATGGCATGGGTAGCAGTTGTCAGGTGCTTTTCACAGGGTCCCACAGTGTGTACAGCGAGTAAAGAGAGATATTTTTTCATCAATACATTCATCAATACATTCATCAATACATTCATCAATACATTCATCAATACATTCATACATACATACATACATACATGCATACATACACATGCATACATGCATACATGCATACATGCATACATGCATACATGCATACATGCAAACATGCATACATACATACATTACATACATACATTACATACATACATACATGCATGCATACATGCATACATGCACACATGCATACATGCATACATGCATACATGCATACATGCATGCATGCATGCATACATACGTGCATACATACATACATCCATGCATACATCCATGCATACATACATACATACATGCATGCGTGCATGCATACATACATACATACATACATACACACACATACATACGTACGTACGTACGTACGTACATACATACATACATACATTACATTACATGCATACATACATTACATTACATACATACATACATACATACATACATACACACATACATACATACTTACATACTTACATTACATTACATTACATTACATTACATTACATTACATTACATGCATTACATACATTACATACATTACATACATTACATACATTACATACATTACATACATTACATACATTACATACATTACATACATTACATACATTACATACATTACATACATTACATACATTACATACATTACATACATTACATACATTACATACTTTACATACATTACATACATTACATACATTACATACATTACATACATTACATACATTACATACATTACATACATTACAAACATTACATACATTACATACATTACATACATTACATACATTACATACATTACATACATTACATACATTACATACATTACATACATTACATACATTACATACCTTACATACATTACATACATTACATACATTACATACATTACATACATTACATACAGTACATACAGTACATACATTACATACATTACATACATTACATACATTACATACATTACATACATTACATACATTACATACATTACATACATTACATACATTACCTACATTACATTACCTACATTACCTACATTATACATACATTACATACATACATTACATACATACATTACATACATTACATTACATTACCTACATTACATACATTACATACATTACATACATTACATACATTACATACATTACATACATCACATACATTACATACATTACATACATTACATACATTACATACATTACATACATTGCATACATTACATACATTACATACATTACATACATTACATACATTACATACATTACATACATTACATACATTACATACATTCCATACATTACATACATTACATACATTACATACATTACATACATTACATACATACATTACATACATACATTACATACATACATTACATACATACATTACATACATACATTACATACATACATTACATACATACATTACATACATACATTACATACATACAGTACATACATACATTACATACATACATTACATACATTACATCACATTACATTACATTACGGTACAGTACAGTACAGTACATTACATTACATTACATTACATACATTACATTACATACATTACATACATTACATACATTACATACATTACATACATTACATACATTACATACATTACATACATTACATACATTACATATATTACATACATTACATACATACATTACATACATATATTACATACATGCATGCATCATGCATGCATACATGCATACATGCATACATGCATACATGCATACATACATACATGTAAAACACGCACACTACACACTGTTTCAGCATGTCATGTGTTCTTGATTCAGTGTATGCAGATTCCCGAAAACAGCGAACATTTTGCAGGGGTTGCTGCATCCTTTGTATCGCAAAATGATTTCTGAGCTTCGGCTGCAGCTTTTTCCCCTTCCGGGACGTCCTTTTCAGTGCCTCCCGGAATAGTGCCAGAACCTGAGAGAACCGATGGATTGTTGCGACAGCAGCACTTGGAGAATTGTGACAAGAGAAAATCGGGCGTCCAATTGGTGTTCAATTGGAGGTTGCCTTTCTTGGAGAATCATCTTGCTTCGTAGCTGGCTGGTACCCACGGTTACCAAGTGCAATCCGCGGTTTGGTCCTCCAATTATCAGGCAAATGTGGTGTCACGAGTTGAGCCCTGGCATCACTACGCGAAGGCTGTGGGTTTGGGAAATGTCATGGGCGCGGTGCGATGTGCGATTTGGTATCTATAGAACCTCCAAAAGGTTGTTTCAACATACTGAGATACTGATTTCATGTGAGGCTTCCAATACATAATGATCAAAATGTGCTTCGCCATCATTGCTAGGGATTCACAAGCGTCACCCGTTCCGTGAGCGTATTTGCAGATTTTGTTGTTTTTGAGAGGTCCGTAAATCTTTGACTTAGACCCAGGATCAATGGGCATTCGGCAATTGCGGATAGGTTCATGGCCAGTTGCCATTCTACAAGTGCTATGAAAAAAGTTGATTCAGGTGATTTGCCGATGAAGATTGTCGCTCCTTTTTCAAATTTGTGTATGGACCCACATGGTATGTCAGAAACATGTGAGTAGATTGAATAGATGTTAATGCACTGCGAAACCAACGACAGTCTATTTCTGATGCATCCACTCGTGACGTATTTTGTTCCTCACGTGTTGATTTTGGAAGAATTCAGGCAGCTGCCCAACTGGGCATTGACTGGAAGTCCAACTATGATCAACTATGCTCAAGCTTGGATTTGCAGTTTGGGTCAGCAACGGGGTCTATCCATGATTATATATCCAATAGCGTTCGGTGTTCCGCTGGCCATTTGGCCTGTGGCCTAGAAGTTGCGCCTCAGTACCAAGAAACGAACACGAAGACAAAGGTACATCTGGAGCACCCAGAGCTCCTGAAGCCCCTTTGAGTAATGTGAGAGCTGTATTGTGCAAGAGCTGCTTGGGAAATAAGGAACATTAGTTGTAAATGCAATCTACTTCTTTTTGCAGTTGGAAATCAACGATTTTCCTTGGTTCATAGCCAGTCAACCTATGGCACATCGGAAACAGAGATTGGGAAAAGATCATATATCAATACCATGTCAAAAACAAAATCGGTAGGTAATTTTTTCTGTGCTTCCACAGAACAGCCTCCAAAGCCGCTTTTACACAAAGCAGCGTTTACACAACGTAGTTCTTATTCAAAGCAGCGTCTACCTACACAAAGCAGCGTTTCGCAACACAGCTATTACACAAGACAATACAGCTTTTTACATGCTTTTACACCAAACCACGTTTACACAGCATACCTTTTAGACAAAGGCGCGCTTATGCTCCACCGCTTTTACCATTGGACCCCACCGAATGGACAAATTGAACCCCACATGGACGGTGAACCCTAGAACAACAGCAGACAGACTGTAAAACGACCCTATACCGACCCCCCCAAAAACCTGATATCAACCCCAAATAGACTCTAAAACAGCCATCATTGAATCCTGAACCAGCCCGAAATGGATTCATATTTTGGATAGCTGCTCCAAGTGGCAATCTAGACCCAGCATCAAAGTCTATTTCTGTTTGGAATATTTTTCTTTTGATGCCTTCGGTGGCGTCAGGCAAAAAACATATTCTGGATCAAAAAAATATATCCAGTGTTTTACTTCTTTTTGATACCAGTTTTTTACTTCTTTTTGATCCGAATTAATTTTCTTTGATCCCTCACTCAAGACTCATGGTCTCTGGCTATGGTCTTTTTCGGTTTTTCTTCGTCCTTGGCCTCCACGCCGTGGTTGCGCCTTTTCGCCAAATTCATGCCGTTTTCTGGTACTGTCATCCACTGGTTTTTCTCTTGCTTCCCTGCTAGGTTGCAAGCTTCTAGAAGAACAGCGTTTGCACAACGCAGTTTTTACACAAAGACCTGTTTACACAAAACAGTTGTTAGGCAAAACAATGTTTACATATGATTTTTACACAAAACAGCGCTTCCGCAACACAGTTTTTACATGAACCGCCGTTACGCAACACCAATTTTACACAAAGAACCGTTTATATACACAGCGCGACTTGTACAGCACGCAGAGGGTTTCAGGACCTCTGGGTGTTTCTGCCAGATACACCTTTGTCTTTATGTTCGTTTCTTGGTATTGAGGCGCAGCTTCTCAGGCCAAATGGCCAGGGGAAAACATGGTCGGATGAGAGCTTGAAAAAAAAACATGTGATGGGGAAAAATCGAAATTTGAATGGAACTTTGATTTTTTTTCAAACCGATGATACAGTGTAGCAAAACCAAATTCAACCATCCACAAGATTGCAAAACTTCATTTGGTTTATGCCGCAGGCCAACCTCAGCACGCTGAAATATGACTCAGGCAGGTGATTTGCAGATATTTGCAGTCGCTGATTCATTCATGATGGTCATGTACAGAGGGATAATATGATGTGTCCAAATTGGGTCACAAAATGAATGGTTTACATGCAAATAATGAACCAAAACCTGCGGCCCCCTGGGTCTTACATTTTGATGCCCACATGTCACATTCGTACATGATTTTCCCCAGATTTACTTTTTGGGAGTGAAGGTCAAGCAACCATTTTCTTGTTGCTATGTTCTGTTAAGGACATTGCTCGTTGGGTTTTTCTGGGTTGGAACCCCGGACATTGCTTAGACCATCACGTGAAAAAAACACGATGCAATCGTGAGGGCGTGATGAAAGTTCTTGTCCCAAGTGGAAATTTCATGGAACCCTACAGTAACTTTATGATTCTACATGGCCATCTCTATCTCAAATAAAGTGAGAAGAGTGATCTTTCTATTTCGGAAGACGCAAGTTGCGCAATGGCAAATGAAGAGTTGGATCTTCCTCGTGGTGATGATACGGGCCTTGACCCAGAAATCAAGGATTTGGAAGTTGAAGAAACTTGGATTGACCCCAGATATACCAAGGTATTTTTTTTGATTTCCCATGGGGAACTTCATACTAGTTTTTCTGTTTGGGTGGGGGAGAATGGCTGAAAAATCTGAGAATCAGCAAATTCCAGGCAGCGTATGCTACTTTGCTGGCGAGGGCTGGTGGGCCCTATGAGCTGAAAGAGTGGTTCGTTGAGGCTGGTTTCATTCTGAACTTTCCACTTGCACAGAAGAAGCAGCACATGGTAGAGAGTGACAAGAAACAGATGAAGGAAAAACTGTTGGCTCTGGCCCAGCGGTTCAAAGAAAGTAGTTTGATCACTGGTACCTACGAGTCGATCTCAGACATTGAGACGAACCTGGAGAAGTGGGAGTGCTGTGTGTGTTTGCTGAAATACCAGGAGCGGTGGGGGAACCGTTACTGGCGCAACAAGTGGGCGAAGCAGGCCCGTGGTACTGTTCTCTTCATCAATCCGGAAGATCAGTCTGATGTGCGGTGCATCTCCTACAAACTGGAGCGAGGCGCCGAGGTGAGCACTCGTCGGCACGCGGAGGAGGGGATAGGCGAGACCCAGGATCTCAAGGAAGGTCGCATCTCAATCTTCGATGATGAGACCATTCGTACCTGTACTACTTTGGCCAAGGGTGGTGCCATCTCTGGTCATCTTAGTTCCAAAGGTGATGGCTCCTACTTCGGTGTGACTTTGGCCCGTGGTCTCCTAGGTCAGATCTGGGATGCCGTCACTGATGGCTTCGCGTCTGACTGGGTGAAGTTGTGGAAGCGAAAGGGCAAGGCGTATGGCGAATCCATTGGCATCGACGACTTGGTGATGGTTCCTGCCACTCAGGGTGGCATCATGCAGGGGGACCACATGCTGGGCTACATGACCACTGCTCTTCTTGTAGGTCGCTGGTTGGTGGTTTCGTTTTTGACATTTTCCACCTTGGGGAGATGATCCCGAATTAACATTCAGAATATTTTTGGAGGCATCAAAATCCTGTAGATCATATTCCCAATAACAATCAAAAACCCTCATGCCTAACCAGGCGGGCTTGTCTGAGAATAGGATACCCCATTTCCAGCGGAGAAATCATCATTTTCTCGTCAGGAACATTTTTTTGCATACCACATTTTTCGACAAAGTCATTGCCCATAATTGTTGGTTATTTATCATTATCTCGCCATGACATGCCTTTATAACTCCGATTAAATCACGACGCAATCCTCTTAAATCCCATAAACAATTTCCCATAATTTTCAGGTAACGGGCTGGCTACTCGTGAGCAGCTTGGTCTCTGTCCGGATTCGGTGGCTGCCATGGATCAATACGGTTCGGTGATTTTCCAGAGGCTTGCAGCACTTGCAGCGCAGCAGCTTCCCGAGCCTTCTGGATGTAAGGCGAGGCATGGGTCAAACATTCCGAAACATCAGGACTTTGAGACAATTGGAGGATTATTGGCATAGTTGAAGCATCAATCAGATACATAAATCCGTTGGACATGATCCAGGTGGGGGTTTAAATCATGTAACAATGTATATAAAAAGTGAACAGATGTCCAGGAGCGGATGGTTGAATACCAATTCACAGTTTCACAATGACATTCCAATGAAGTGGGTCCATGGATACTGTGAGGTGGTCTCCTTTGAAAACATCTGTGAGAATCGCCGCGGTCTCTTCCGTGACCATGAGCACACAGAGCTGGCTTGCCGATACACGCGCGATCGCTGCATTGTTCTGGGGCTCAGTGACTGTGAGTCCAAGCTCTACACTCCTCACTCAGCTTTCGAGACTGTTGGCTTTGAGGAGCCCATCTATTGGCTCATCACACATTCTGATCACATCAACAAGCTGATTGACAAACTGGATGAGTTGGTGTGGGGGTCCATCACTGAGGCGGACTTCTTGGCCATGTTTCCTCCTGCCAATCCCGAGAAAATTGGTGACCCTACCATCGACTATGAAGGCTTTGTCTTCATGGAGACCAGGCCAATGCAGTCGACCGGCACGAATGGCGTGGTGTACATGTACCGCAAGATCAAGGCTGGGCACGGTGGCACGGTGCCTTCCATTGTGATTCAACCATATTCAACCCACAAATCACGAAAGGTAGCGTCAGCTACCTGAGTTCTCCGTGCTTCAGCACAATCATAGGGGGTATTGGGGGGCCAGCCCGGGTCAAACGTGGAATTCTCGCCGTTATGTATTGGATATCAATTATAAGGGGGGGGCCCCCCGTAAGTTCGACACTTGGAGGCTATATCGCAAGCCAAGAGGCTATGGATCAATACTAATCAAAAGGCATCGAAGCAAACGACAGGCGCAAAATGGACGCAACTGATTCCGCATGCTTCAGGCCGTATACAATAGGCTTTCCAGAAAGACATGCCGATGAAGCCGCTGGAATCGCTGGCGCCGATCAGGCCAATTGAGCCGATGAGGCCGCTGGAGCCGCTGAGGCCGATGGAGCCGATGAGGCCGATGAGGCCGATGGAGCCGATGAGGCCGCTGGAGCCGATATGACGCCGATGGAGCCGCTGGAGCCGATGGAGCCGCTGGAGCCGATGACGCCGATGAGGCCGATGAGGCCGATGGAGCCGCTGGAGCCGATGGAGCCGCTGGAGCCGATGACGCGCCGATGAGGCCGATGAGGCCGATGAGGCCGATGAGGCCGATGGAGCCGATGAGGCCGATGGAGCCGCTGAGGCCGATGAGGCCGATGGAGCCGATGAGGCCGCTGGAGCCGACGGAGCCGCTGGAGCCGATGAGGCCGATGGAGCCGCTGGAGCCGATGAGGCCGATGGGGCCCATGAAGCCGATGGAGCCGATGGGGCCGATGGAGCCGGTGAGGCCGATGGAGCCGATGGAGCCGGAGCTGATGAGGCCGATGGAGCCGCTGCATGGAGCCGATGAGGCCGATGAGGCCGATGGAGCCGATGAGGCTGATGAGGCCGATGGAGCCGATGAGGCCGCTCGAGCCGATGGATGGAGCCGATGAAGCCGATGGAGCCGATGAGGCCGATGGAGCGCCGATGGAGCCGATGAGGCCGCTCGAGCCGATGGATGGAGCCGATGAGGCCGATGGAGCCGATGAGGCCGATGGAGCCGCTGAGGCCGATGAGGCCGATGAGGCCGATGGAGCCGCTGAAGCCGCTGGAGCCGACGAGGCCGATGAGGCCGATGGAGCCGATGAGGCCGCTCAAGCCGCTGGAGATGCTGGAGCCGATGAGGCCGACGGAGTCGCTGGAGCCGTTGAGGCCGATGGAGCCGATGGAGCCGATGAGGCCGATGGACAGGCCGATGGTCAGGCCGATGGTCAGGCCGATGGACCAGGCGTGCCACAATGCAAAGCACCCATGCTCTGAAAGTGGCGCTTGGCGCCGGAGATAAATCCTATGCAGTATTGCCAGTATAAAGAGAGTTGCAGGTTACAGCTACATGTATCGAGACACCTTAACCCATTCCACCCTGCCTACATGCACAAGAAGTGGCGCCGCAAAATCGACGCCAACCGTCAATGGCACGGCCCCCCCCCTCTAAAATGGTCATGGGTTCAATTCCCACGGGTGACGCGGTCACGGGCCCCCACATTAGAGGCACACTTTCCATGAGGGAGATGTCCCTGTAGTCCAGCATAATTGGTATGCTTCAGCCTCAATAACAGTTGCTGCAAGGGGTCTTAAAAAGGGGTTTTGAATAAACCCCTTTTCGTGCATCATTTCACGCTGCACAAGACACCGTATGATGCAGTCATGCTCTGGATAAAATCATCTTAGACTGCGCAAAAACGTTTTTGGTGTATCATCTTAGGGGCGCAGCATTTTGACACCACTCCTCTCCCACTACACTACCTTTCGTCCGCCTCCGCCTGCTCTCAAGTGAAGCAACAAAGAAATAATTGGTGATTTCAGCAATTCCAAAGTTGTGTTTTTGTGTAATGGATAAATCATGGCAAATCACTATACCTGCGCTCATTGTTCACAATGGTTTGTTTTATTCTGCTTGAAAGCGCCCAGTCCTCAGGGCCTGGCGTACTACAAGTCCCACAAGCTCCATGCCGACAACCTCCCCTACTTGCTGCGACTGGGTGAGCGGGCGGGTCACATCTTTCCTATAGCTCAGCGTGCTTTGGAGCTCCTTTCACCAGGCGTTTTTCAGAGGAAGATGGAGCAGGTCTTGGAACGGGTCCTGACTTTGCTGGATTTCTCTGATCCTCAGAACCCGCTGCTGGATCGAATCCGTACTGGACACGCAGCAGCTTTGGCCAAGGCACTAGCAGCTGGCAGCAAGAAACTGCCCAAGGACCCATTGGTGGGTTTCGAGCAGCGCAGCGTGGATGCACAGTGCAAGATGGCGGTGAACATCCAATACGCCAATTTCCCAGCAGAGGTGGCTGAAATCTTCCAGGCGCAGTTCCCAAGCATCGACGTCAATGGTGATCTGATCTCCGGCCTCAAAAGCATTGTGATGTCGGTGAAGCCTTGGATCCCCAAAGGGGAAGTCGGTTCTTTCACGGAGGAGATCTCGACAGATCACCCGCTCTTCCGGCCTTTCATCATGGCATGCCTTGGACAGAGCGTTGCCAGCTGAGGGGCTCACCCGCGGCTGTACAGGGGCCTTTTTCGGAAGGTGATATATGGTGATATCCAATTTTGTGCCAGTTTTTGCAATCGCCACCTTTGATTACCAGGTATTTGGACAGCCGAATCACGTCTGTACAGTTCTGTACAGTTCGTCCAAAACAAAGTCTGCAAGCCTTCAGTATGCCCCAACATCTAAATTTTGACTGGGAAAACGGTGATAACTAATCCAGTGGGTTCAGGGATACAGCCTGGCAATTGTGAGGCACATTCTATTCGAGCAATAACATCAATAGCGCATAATGTGCCCACATAGCGCACTCTGTCGTATGATGAGACAGACAAGGTGCTTTTGGTATTGCAACAGAGTGCAACCCATCAATTGTAAGGGCAGCTATGTCTATCTCTATACTTACATTAGTTTTTTTTTTTTTTTTAAAATCCGCTACTAGCTACCAAACATCAATGCTGAATACACATACATCATCTATACTAATCTATACTATACGTACTAATCATTTCCCTTTGGCAACAGAGTGCCTCCGTCTGAAGGAAGAGTTTCCAAAGCAAAATCATCAGCATAAAAATGCAGTTCGTTGGTAGAATTTTTAGAAACGTGCTGCAGTCCATGAGAAAGATTGCCAGCATGATCACGGCATGATCACCGCATGATCATGGAATCATGGACCATTTTGCTTTCAGCCATCCGCGTAGTGGATGTGGATGTTGATTAAATCAATCCGTTTTGCCAATTTGATCCAATCTCTTCATCAAAAACAACACTGTTCTTGGCTGTGATGTCTGCATCTTGATTGGACGTATCCAGTCATCATACTTGCAGACATCTCCATTTCGATTGATCCAATCCCCATTTCTACTGCTACAGAAGTCCCGACTTCTGTTGGTGAAATTCGCATTTTTTTCTTCTTGAATATCCCGGACGGGGTGGTGGTTATGATGAGGTTGAAAACCACCCAGCAGATGAAGAGTAGCAGGGGTTCATAATGTCATAGGCTTTTGGACACCTGAAACAGGTGGGATTGTCACTGGCTGAGAAGTTGTTATCCCCAAACCGAGGGAGTGTGGGGGTGGAAGCAGCAAGGCGAGCCGTTGTGAGTTTGGTCCTTTCCAGTTCCGTCCCCAGTCTGATGACCAGTCTGATGCACATTGTGTTCAGAATGAGCCACGATGTCATGTGGCAAAGCTTCTTTCACCAAGGTTCTTGACGGCTTTGGCGCTGTGAGTAGCAATCTGTCTGTACTTGATACTGAAGCCGACCAAAATGACCACAGCTCTGGTGGCTGTTCCCATGTGTTTCGGCGAGAACATGTCCTCCATCTAAAACCTAAAAATCATGAGCACATCACATTTTGCTGGGCACTTGGATGATCTTTGATGAACTCTGAATCTCCTCTCTAAATTTCCTTGCTTCCAGCTTCTCAAAGAAAATTGGCTGCTGAGGAGCCATGGCACAGAGATTCAGGCATTGTGAGTTTGTGATATTTTTTTTAGCTTAGTAATGAGTTCTTGATTGGTCTTGAGCGTTTGTCCTGTTGAAATCAAACAAGCTTTATTTTCCAGACCCACCAAATGATCAGAAAAGAAGGCCGCAATATGACACAATATCATATTGATGTCAGACAGCTGCTGTGCATTCATGCGATGCTATGAAGCAATTGGAATGTGCCTTAGCTTCTGCTGATGGTTCGGCACAAAGCTGGAATGAAGTGTACCAACATCCCAAGCCTTGTGCTTCCTTGAAGGCGTACAAGAAACGTTTTCGCTTGACTCAAAAGATTGAGACCGAAGCTCTGGAATCTTTAGAGGGTCGACATGTTCTTGAATCACTTCCACACGACTGTGGTTTGAAACCTGGTATGCTGGAGAAGTACGTCGCTGCTTGCGGTTTGGACGTGGACATAGGTGTTGGAAGTTTGGTCTTGGCCTTGAACCGCTTGGAGGGCGTCGTCACGCTGAGCTCTTGCAATTCATTTCATGTGGGTGCCCATGAGGACAAGGTTTCTGAAACCGCACGCTTCCTCGATGTGGAAACATCATTGACAATTAATTCCTCTAAGGAGTAACATCAGTATTTGTTTTGATTGGATTTTATCTGGAGAACCATGGAAAACCACCATTTCCCCCAAAAGTTGATATTAAACCCCCCAGCCAAAAAACATCATCTCCGCTTTGTCAGGAAGAAGCTCTGGTGGCTTTTACTGGACCCAAGGATCTGGCCCAGCGCTTGCAACGGGACTTGGGGGATCACTTCCGATGCTCGCGGGAGGATGTAGTTCAGCCACAGAAAGTGGGCATGCGAGCACAGAAATTTGCCAGTTACATCGTGGCTTGGTTCAGCTGCGATGAGTTTCAAAGATTCAACAGCAGTTAGGTGTCGGCATGGGAATCTAAACAGAAAATGTATCACATGATACAATGATATAAACACAAACATAGGAGCAGAATCGATCTGAAACCTGTCTACCTTTTTCGAACCCCCCTGCAAGTTACCTGATAGCGGTATAGACACTGGCATGTACATACAATTTCGTTGTGATGGTTGAAAACTACAGTCGTATATAAATGGGATGGCTTAGTCCCAAACATAAATCAAATTTGTGTTGGCATTTGTTCTTTGGAACCAAACATTCAGCTGTTCGCCATTTCTTTTGTTCCCATTGACTCGAGGTCTTTTCCGATGCGCTAAAGGATGGACGTCCGGATGCCGTGCAACGGATGCGTGACATGATGATGCTGGCTGAGCGCGTCGACCAGTTGGTGCGCTCACCACTGGATGGAGAGACATGGCAAGCTCCACCGGTGGGCGCCTGGGATGGCCTGGCCATGGAGGTTTCGGTTGAGGAAGCTGAGTTGAAACGCCTGGGGCAGCAGTGGTCCCAAGGGAAGCCCTGCCGTGTCAGTGTCGTGAAGGCTTTTCCAGCTGATGAGTTGGATGATTTGAGGGATCAGCTGGTGTCGGAACTGAAAGGTCTGCAAGCCATTGAAACTCAGCATAGTGGCTCTGGTGCTGCCTTTTTGCGAGATCGAGGAAACGATCACAGCACTGAAAGTATTGCGTGCGACATTTGAAGGGGGTCAATGGAGAGATTTAGTGGGAAAGATCACGGGGTGCAACTTTGGTGGCGCACCCAACTGCGCTTTGGTTGCGGTTCCACCCGGGGGTCATGTCTTTCCCCAGTGCTTTGGAGGAGGAAAGGCGGGTGTGGGCTTTACCCTTTTTCTCACTGAGAGCTGGTGGACTGAAGGGGACGGTGGCATTTTGGAGCTCTTTGAGGATGATGCCAGATCCAGCAAGATTGTGCCCAAAGGACAGGGTTTTGGGATCAGCGTTGCAGCGCCTACATGAAAAACATTGAAAAGGCAAAGAAAAATCACCTACTGATGCTGCCATGACATCTAGCAACCAACAATATATCTTGCATATTCTTGTATGATGTAATACTGTAATACTCTTCAGGCCCCCGCATTTTCTTGGCACCTCATGGACTTCACCATAAGAGGTCCTCCTGCGCCATGTGGTCCCGTGCCAGGAGGTCAGCTCTACATCTACCAGGCTGCTGCCTGTGGCATCACCCGAGTTTTGTCAGATGAAGCTCCCCAACTGGCTGTGCATGGCATCTTTGTCCAGGCCGAACCAGCCAGCCTTCCAGGTGGCCTTTCGGAGCTTTTTGCCAGTTGCCAGTTGTCAACTGGTGACTTTGCGGCGGAGGATCGGGAGCTGCTGGAGGCTGTGATCTCACCAAAATATTTGGATTTGGGGCAGATGGAGTGGCTCTGCCAGAAGTTCGAGGAGGAGAGTCAGCTGCGGCTGCCCGGATTTCTTCGCAGCGACTGCCTGGAAAAAATCTCTGCGGCACTGCGGGAGGGTGACTCGAAGGGTGGCCTTGGCAATGGATGGCAGCTGCTGGGCCCGGTGCTGCACAGGCGTCTTTGTGCCTTTGGCAAGGTCGGGAAGGGGAAGAAACGGCTGGCATCCCAGTGCCCTGCTGGCAAAGCTCTGGCGCAGGTGGCGAAGGTCTTGGCCTCTCCAGCATTTCTTCGATATTTAGGGAGGTTGACAGCTGTAAAGGCAGGGTGGCAAATAAGTTCCAAACGTTTGGAATTCATTTGGCCAAATATTTGTTCCTTCCACCTTCAAGACCATAATTTTTGCTGGGTTTTACATAGCATGTTTTATATTGTTTTGAGTTTCAGTTCAACTTCCCTGAAAACAGGGCACCTCCGATCTGGCTGTTTGCATTCGTCGTTTCCGTCCTGGCCTGGACTACGAACGTCCCACCTGCACTGCCCAAGCCCAGCTGGACGTAGTGCTGGCCTTCGAAAGCCTCCCTGGCACGGTGCGTGCGCGGCGCCGGCGCCTCCGATCCCTGGGTGGTGCGGAGGTCTATGCAGAGCGCGATGCGGGGGAGAGGACGGCGGAAGCTGCAGGACTGTTGGCTGGGGCCAATGGAGTGCCGTGTGCCCCTGAGGTTTTGCTCAGGTTGCCCTTGGCCAACAACATCTTGCGGCTGGTGCTGAGGGATGCACAAACCTCCCATGGCACTGAACCTTTGGCCAGTAGGTCTTCCACCAGCCGCTGGGAGATTCGCTTGGCTTTGCCCACCGAGTTGGAAGAGGAAGATGAGGTTGAGGAGGTTAGCCCAAAGAGGCGACGCACTGGCGGCAAAAAGAGCTGGCAGTCCAGTGCTGTGACTAGTCCATGTCGGATGGACATGGGATCGATGTGGGATGTCTGTGGAGTGAGGACGAACCCCTGCGACTTAAACATTGATGTAGAAATCAGATGAACTCGGTGCGGAGTTGTCGATCAAATCCAATTTAATTCACCATTTGAATCATCTGACACTGGTCCTATCACAACTTTGGCTTCTGAGCTTCTGCAACCTTGCCAATTTCACTTTTTATACCTTCTCACGAAAATACCAGCCTCACCAGGGCTTGACTTGTGGTTCCCTCAGGTTACAAACCACTAATCTTGTGAAACGACTTAAGTGCAACTCCAATTTTGCATGGGATTTTCCATACCGCCCCTGCCACATAGCTGACATAGCTCCTGAGCCGAAAAGAACCACTCACACAACATAACACAACACTTCTACTATAGCATCTACTAGCCATGAAGCTGGAAAGAAAGCATAGATGCTTGGATGCAGTGGCCACCAGGGATGGTTCATGAAGCTGAAGTGACTTCTACTTCTAGAGGGTTATATTATATATGTGCCAGGTTGGATCAAAATGATCAAAACCACCAAGGTTTCTGCTAAAGGGAGGTTTTGATATGATTTGATCACTGCACTGCCATTGGGCCATACTTTTACAGCTGCTGTCCTGGAATTTTCAGATTTTCTGAGGACGTGCTAAGCTTTGCTCAGGGCTCTTGCTGGCGTTCGCGTGTCTTTTCGCTCAGGCCTTTGCCTCAGTTCTCACTCGGACAGCCTGGGACCGGCAAGTGGTGAACGGCAATCTTGATACCTGTTTGTTGGTCTGGAACATTTTTTATTTTTCCATATATTGAGAATAATCATCCCGACTGACCATATAATATTCTTCAGAGGGGTTCAAACCACCAACCAGGTACCTATTGAAGACCAGCTTCTTGTGCCGGTCATCATTTCGCAGACCTTTTTGCATTTCGCTAAGTCTCACTGAGGTGCCACTTCCTGGCGAAGAAGGCTTCGTTGCCTCCAAGGAGCAGCACAAGTTTGGGAGATCCCGATGTTTTGTTGGTTTCCTAGTGCATAGTTATAATTAGTTATATACAGTATCAGTATATCTATGTATATCATTTTACCGGATGTGAATCAAACACGTCAGATCACCAGAGTTCACCAGACGCCAGTGCAGTAAGCAGAACCTCTGCTCCTCAGGCGTCAGGGCGATCTGACACCAGAAGAATGGCGAGTGCCAAAAACGTTGATGAGGCGAAGGAGAGAAGGGAAGCCAATTGATTTTTCTCCGGACATTTTTTACGAGACACCCAAAAACCCACTGGTTTATCATCATTTTCCCTTGCGCATGGCCATAAATGGGGGAATATACCCATATAACATCATATAACCTATTAGTTACACCATTTTCAGCCCAGCTGGATGATATAGATGTATTGGCTTGGTCGCCAAGGACATGTAGGGAACAGAAAGGAAAGCTAGTCTGTCCCCAGGACCCAGTGAAGCAAGATGTAATTTTGTCCAAGAACTGATGGAGAAACTCCAAACTATGCTATGTATGCCAAAAGCAGTTTGCTGTTGATCAGGAGGTCAAAGAACTTCCCAAAGAGACAATGCAGAAGGAGGAAGAAGGTGCATGGGCAATTGTGTTTGTCAGATTTGGCCCATCATTTCTGGATTCTAGAACTTGAAGTTTCGAGATCTTTCAAGATCTTTCAAGTTTCCAGCCTTCACCAACCCAGCGAATCTGTTATTCATGGGGGATCCTCGAAACATGTGAAGTTTGAATATAGGTGACCCCTATGCATTCTTCGTGCCCGCCGTGGTCTTTTTCCTCTACCTTGGCTTTGGCACCATCTACTCTACGGAGTCCTTGGGATGCAGACTGGCAGAGTCAACTTTCCCTACAAGGTCTTTGGCCTTGTGGGTCACCATCGAAAATTCCTGTTTCACAATGAAGATGATTCCAGAGGATTTCCTGAGGGATTTCCTGGCACTGTTCTCCTGAGGTATTTCATGCCTATGGGTGACGTTGGTGGAAAGGTTGCTGTTGCTTTCGGGGTGCTCTTCGTCCTGCTGGTGGTCGGAGTAGCACTGAAAGAAGTCATGGACTGAGCTGCCATGAGCTGCGAAAAAAAGGCAGCCAAGATCCCTGCAGCATTCCTGAATTGTTGGAATTCAATTTTGAAGAGATGAAAGTTAGGGTTTGAGACCATAACCAATCTGGTAAGTCCATTGGTACCTCGAAGACGCTGCCAGCAAAGCTGGAGGTGGCAAATCTTTTGGTTGATCAATGCTAAAGCGAAGTGGGTGATGCTTTCATGCACTGAGACGCCACGATGTTTCCAGAACAGACCACTTTGAGATTCTCTGATCATTTTGGCATTTTGGCATTTTCAATCATCTACTGATTTTTGGCGGTGCTCTTGATCCACTGTCAAATCAGCCTTGTCTTTTCCAATGGCTCCTGCTGAATTTTGCGTTGTCAGCTAAAATCGCTTGGCTCAAAGCCGGAGTTCGGAGCCGGACACATGGGGAGGCCAGCTGCCAGATGCAGAGATGGCAGTGATAAGAAATTGGTCGGAGCAGTGACCACTCAGTGACCACGTCACCCCCAATGATGTCTCTGTTTTGGGGGTGTCCCCCCGTTGACCCCGTTGGACTAGGAAGCGGTCGCCCGGTGTCTCAGATTTTGGGGTCATCCTGTGGTCCTGGCGACCGGTGTCAGCAATACACGACCCCCCCAAAAATCTAAAACAGCTTATAGTAGTATTATATAAGAAATATGCTCATACTCGCGTCAAAATCAGTTTCTTCATATTTTATGGTGAGTAAAAACTCCAATTTTTGGGTCTCCAGCCGCCTTGACCGCGGCCATTTTTGCGGCCCAGGTCTTCGACCGAGTCAGAGAGCGACTCTGACAGTGGCCTGGTTTGGGAATTCGTCAGACATTTTTCGCCACGAAAAAGTCAAAACAGAAAAACTAACAGCAGCTAAAAAAAAAAGTGAAAATGCATTATGTGCATGTCTCAAACTAGGGGATTTGGTGGTTATTAACCACCATTAACCACCATTAACCACCATTAAGAACCACCCATTTTTCGATTTTCGATTGGCAAATTTTCGGAGCTCCGAGCCATGGGGTGGAATCGGCAAATTTTGAGACAACCCCCAAATATGGGTACCCAGAAATGGGTGGCTTGACACTTGACGTTGAAGAAAATCAGTTGATGATCAGGACTTGTAATGATTGATGGTTGATGATGGTTGACCTTTTTAAGGCGAAATCAATGGCGCAAGACGGGTGTAGGTACTGTTTTTTTTGGCCATTTTTTTTCAGATCCAGGGACCTACAAATGAAGTGATCTTTCTTAGCAGCAAGCCACCCTATTTTACAGAACCCAATTCTGACCCATGCCCGATATCTCCAGCCGTTGGTTTCTGCTGCAGTTTTTGACAATCTGACTTTGGACAACCTGATATTGGGGGGTGAAGCGCCGTTCACGTGGGTGAGATGGCTGATCAGCAGGAGAATGAAGGCCTATTCATCATCCACCATTGATTGCGCCATGGTATCATCATTAAACGATACTCCACTTCCGTGTTGTGAACATATCCGAAGTATTTGTTGATTCTCATCCCAATGAAGTTATGGTTGGGGAGAGGACCCTGGCATGTAGATCAGTTTGCCTTCCAATCTGATCAACAAAATCTCGAAAGGTAGCGGTGAGCTACCTGAGTTCCCCCTTGCGTAGCAAGTATTAGGGGGCGAGCGGTGCAAGTGCAAGAGTTTGGGCCGGTTATGTCTCGGTCCGCCTTTCAAGGGGGGGGGGCCCCCCCCCCACCCTTCGATTCCCCCCAGGTCCGCCTCTAAAGCCGGGTTTGCAACATAGGCGGACTACAAGGAAACGCCAACAGCCGCACATGCACTTTCATCCACCACGTTTACATACATCCCCACCCCAACCGAAGTCAAGACCCGCACTGAAACTCGACAATGTCAGATTGCTCAAGAACTTTGTTTCGTTCACCCTAACAACCGCGATGAACAATGTCGTAGCAAGAACGTTGCGACGGACTGCGTTGCAGTAGTCTCAAAAATCGTACATGATATACCAGTAGTACCGCACAAGGCGGTGGCGGAAGTTTCAAAAATAGGAAACCTATAGGAGAGATTGGTTGTTGTGAATCAGAGATGGCAGAGCGAAGCCACTGCTGGACTGAAAGGCGATTGATCTCTCTCACTCTTGTCTACCTGTCTATCTATCTATCTATCTATCTATCTATCCATCTATCCATCTATCCATCTATCCATCTATCCATCTATCCATCTATCCATCTATCCATCTATCCATCTATCCATCTATCCATCTATCCATCTATTTCTCCTATCTATCTATCTATCTATCTATCTATCTATCTATCTATCTATCTATCTATCTATCTATCTATCTATCTATCTATCCTATCTATCTATCTATCCTATCTATCCTATCTATCCTATCTATCCTATCTATCCTATCTATCCTATCTATCCTATCTATCCTATCTATCCTATCTATCTATCTATCTATCTATCTATCCTATCTATCCTATCTATCCTATCTATCCTATCTATCCTATCTATCCTATCTATCCTATCTATCCTATCATATCCTATCATATCCATATCTATCTATCTATCCTATCTATCCTATCTATCCTATCTATCCTATCTATCCTATCTATCCTATCTATCCTATCTATCCATATCTATCATATCTATCATATCTATCATATCTATCATATCTATCATATCTATCTATCTATCTATCTATATCTATCATATCTATCATATCTATCATATCTATCATGTCTATCTATCTATCTATCTATCCTATCATATCCTATCTATCTATCTATCTATCTATCTATCTATCTATCTATCTATCTATCTATCTATCTATCTATCTATCTATCTATCTTATCTATCTGTCTAGCTATCTATCTATCTATCTTCTATCTATCTATCTATCTATCTATCTATCTATCTATCTATCTATCTATCTATCTATCTATCTATCTATCTATCTATCTATCATATCTATCATATCTATCATATCTATCCTCTATCTATCGATCTATCGATCTATCTATCTATCTACCTATCTCTATCATATCTATCATATCTATCATCATATCATCATATCATCATATCATCATATCATATCTATCATATCTATCATATCTATCTATCTATCATATCTATCATATCTATCTATCTATCTATCATATCATATCAATCTATCTATCTATCTATCTATCTATCTATCTATCTAATTATCTTATCTATCTATCTGTCTGGCTGTCTACCTGTCTATCTTTTGTGCAGTGTCATTCAGTGTAATGTAGTGTAGTGTAATGTAGTGTAATGTAGTGGAGTGTAGTTGTAGTTGTAGGTGGTAGTGGAGTGTAGTGTAGAGTAGTGTCGTGAAGTGTAGCGGCAGGTAGTGTAGTGTAGTGTAATGTGGTGTAGTGTAGTGGAGTCTAGTGTAGTGTAATGTAGTGTAGTGTAAGGTAGTGTAGTGTAGTGGAGTGTAGTTGTGTAGTTTTAGTTGTAGTGTTGTGGAGTGTAGTGTAGTGTAAGGTAGTGTAGTGTAGTTTAATGTTGTGTAGTGGAGGGTAGTGGAGTGTAGTTGGGTAGGTGTAGTTGTATTTGTAGTGTAGTGGAGTGTAGTGTAGTGTAATGTAGTGAAGTGTAGTGTAGAGAGTGTAGTGCAGTGTAATTTAGTGTAGTGGACTGTAGTGGACTGTAGTTGTGTAGTTGTAGTTGTAACCTGTAGTGTTGTGAAGTGTAGTGTAATGTAATGTAGTGTAATGTAGTGTAGTGCAGCAAAGTGTAGTGTCATGTAGTGTAGTCGAGTTAAGCGAAGCAACATCTGAACCGCCAAAAGTGGTCCGAAACCCTAGTGTTTTTAACATGTTAACTTCCAAATCTGCTTCACGCCACAACGGCGTGCACTTTTTCGAAGCTCGACATCTCAGCCTCCAAAAGTGGTCCGAACATGGTGTGGTTTGTACATTTTGACTTCGAAATGTGCTTCGCGCCACAACGGCGTGCACTTTTTCGAAACTCGACCTCTGAGCCTCCAAAAGTGGTTCGAACCCCTGGTGCTTTGCACATTTTGACTTCGAAATGTGCTTCGTGCCACAACGGCGTGCACTTTTTCGAAACTCGACCTCTGAGCCTCCAAAAGTGGTCCGAACCCCTAGTGTTTTTAACATTTTGACTTGGAAATGTGCTTCGCGCCACAACGGCGTGCACTTTTTCGACATCTTAAGTGCCAAAAGTGGTCCGCACTTGGTGTGTTTTCTACATTTTGACTTGGACATGTGCTTCGCGCCACAACGGTGTGCACTTTTTCGACATCGCAACTTCCAAAAGTGGTCAGACCCTGGTGTGTTTTGTACATTTTGACTTGGGGATGTGCTTCGCGCCACAACGGCGTGCACTTTTTCGACATCTGAAGCGCCAAAAGTGGTCCGATCCTCTGGTGTTTTGTGCATTTTGACTTGGAAATGTGCTTCGCGCCACAACGGCGTGCAATTTTTCATGTCTCATCTCCCCATATGTCTCCGCACCCGGCGCTTTAGCGAGCCTACTTTTCGACCCTCCGGAACCACAAATCATTGGAAAAACACAGTGAATCGCTACTTTCCTACCTTTTCGCGCATCTGCATCTTCTTTCTTCTGACTCTTTCTCTTCTGAACTTTCTCTTCTCTCTGCCTCTGCCCTGCTCTGCTTTTCATCTGTCCATATTGTCGGAAGTTTAGCTTCTCAACTTCCTTCGACAATATAGTTAAAGATATGTATCTATATATATATTTATATATATACACATAATAATTCCATGATATATATATATATACTAAATAATCTCAATATACATATAGATTCGTATATATATATATATGCATGCATACTCTACCCAGCAATTGTGGGATATTGCGCTTTGGCTAGTGGTTGCCGAAGCATAATCGCTGCCCCTTGCTCAGCATATCTAGATCATTTGGTGGATTTTCCGCAAGGGTTCCTCCAAGATATTCTCTTCAACCAAAAGACTTCGCTAATGACATTTCAATATGTTTCATATATATGTATATTCGTATATATATATAGTTATCATGTATAATAACTAGAACACCTATAATGACTAGAATTACTATAATAACTAGAACATAATTATCACAACTATATTGAAACCCCCCCTTCGATTCCCCCAAGGTCCGCCTCTAAAGCCGCGTTTGCAAGAAGTCACCCCGCTGGCCCACTTTTTGCACCAAGATTCCAGCACCAGGATAGCCCTAAGTCAGTTGCTTTGGGTACATGCTGGGGTCAAAACACCACGTTTGTGAATCCCACACTGTTCTACACATGTACACACCAGAATCAACCCCATCCGCGTTGCAACAATGTGCTGCCCCCAGTTACGCGTTGCCTCGCAAACCCCATAACCTGATATTTATACATATATCTAACTATATGTATGTACTTATATATATATATATATGTCTGTGTGTCTGTGTGTGTGTCGTGTCCCCCCTCCCTGAAACCTACCTTTTTGGTACCCGCCCTCGAGTCCAAGCCCAGAAGACTTTTTTCGATATCCGCCCCAACTCCACCCACGTCCGTCCGCAGCGGATATGCCTCGTTCCCTTGCTCTCTTCTCCTGTTCCAACCCACGCCTACCTTTCGATCTTTCACCCTTCCCTCTCAAGTTGATGTAGCTCATCAACAAGAACCTGGATCCATTGGGAATCCACTGGATCTTCAAACAAATTGGGGCCGAGAACATCCAATCCAACAAGAACTTCTGCCACTGAGAACAGGATTGGATGGTTCCATCATAGTCCATCCACTCTGAGGTGAAGAAACTTCTTCCTCTAAGAGTTGCAGGTGGGCTAAAGATTGGACATGTGTTGATGTGTTGGTTAGAGCAAGTTGGCGACTTAAAACACCCATGAAAACATCTTGCTTGGCGTTTCCAAAGTGATCTGTTTGGGGGGTTCAGTTTCTATTCAGGGCGGGTTGAAACATGTTGAAGCCACCGGCACCACCGCATGTTTTCAGGAAGACCAAGAAGGTCTCCAAGGCCGGGAGAAGCAATGAGTGCCAGGGAAAAACATGGGGTGTTTTGAAAGCGGATGACTAATCTGTGATGTTTTTCCTGGGGGGTTCTTGAACCCATAGTGTTTTATTTTCTTTGGGAGTTTTCAGTTATTGTACGTATATTTGCCAGTTGCTTCCGAAGCTAGAATGTGTTGCTGAGAGGCGACTGCCAAAGATAAGAAAAAGACAAAAAAGGCTGTAGAGGTCAGAGCTTCACAGCGGAACGGAAGATGGGAAGGGGGACATCGGTTGGCCTGTGTGGACCGTCACCAGATTTGGGTGAGTTTTAATGAATTTTTATGTATAGGCATAGAAACCACCAAAAAAGATAGACGCATTATTTATCACTATTGCAAGCAAATGCAATCAATATCATTTATATATACTTTAGTGTATATACTTTAGTAGGATTTTGCTTTTCTATGTTTCTTTGGGAGTTGCTATGGTCTTAAAAATCTTAAGCCATCCAATTTTGCGGGTACCCAATGACTTTGTGCACTGAGATGGACGTGAAGGATGACTCAGCCTCAGGTCAAAAAGACCAGTAGCAAAGCCAAAAAAAAGAAGGCACCCTTTCACGTGGAGAGCGTCAAGTTGCCAGGTTTTTTTAGAGCTTTGGCATGGCTTGCTGCGAACGTGAACTGCTTGAGATCCGAATTTCGTGAGGCCAAAGAAGAGAGCGAAGATGACTCTGACTCTGAGGAGGAGGAAGAGGATGAGGCTTGCCGACTTCAGCATCCAGTCATCACTAACCTCTAAAGTACAATATGGATGTTCCGTATACCCTAAAACTGCCATGTTTTTTTGGGGATCATCTATCCACAAAAACTCATGCCAGGCACTTCACATTCATTGTTTACATCATTGAAGATCTTAACAGTTAAGCCCCATAGATTTCCCCATCATGTTCCCAACAAAAACCCAAAAAACCTGAGGACTCCGAGCCGTCGGGAACCCAGCTGGTGACGATTTTGAGTCAGCAGATACTTTGGGGGTCAACATCCAAAATGATACCCGAGGGGGTTGTGACTAACATATATAGCTATTGAAAATATGGCCTAGAAATAGAAATAGTTGGAATTTTCCCAGCTACATCAATAAAAAATGGTGATTTTCCAGTGAGGAAATGTTACATTAATGATATTAATGTTAGTTTACCAGAGGGTAGGTGGAAAATGATAATCCAAGCAGATCGAATCCAATTTTTGTAGAGTTGGATGATTGGATGATCCACCATTTCAGCACCACCAACTGGACGATAGGGCTGAAAAAAACACCCTGGTCCCCATTTTTCATCATCCAATTTCTTGGGTGAGTACCAACTCGCTTTTTTTGGGCTTAGCGGCATGAAAGATCTCAGGAGAAAGAGCAAGAAGGACAAAGATCGAGGAAAGAGCAACGTTCTCAGATTGCCACAAAATCTGATTTCAATGTCCGGCCCAGAGTGGTTCTTGGGACTGTGGGACTATTAAAGAATCATAAGAATCCATACAGAAGTCCCAAGAATAGAAACAGATTTCTAGACCAGCTTGAACTGCTTCAAATAGCACTAACTTTTCCAGTTTGATGATCCAAACATAGTGAGAGTTTCATCAAATATTCACCAGTTGAGAGTCCAGTTCCCCAATTCAAATTCCCCACTTTGGGGGAACATCAAGCCTTTCTTCCTATCTGTGGCAGAACTCCCGGTGAAATCCTGGAATCTTCGCCGGAAGCGATCCCAGGCGACAAGAAACGTCGTGACCGAAGTCGAAGTGGGGCAGCCCATCGCCGGGGTGAATCCATCATGGAACTATCGTATCCTATGAAGAACTTGGGAATCCAACTTGAAGATGTAAGATGTCAGCGGTGAAAGGAAATGAATGGACATAAACTCATGATACAAGATATACCCTCTGGTAATTTAACATAGCTATTGAAAATGGCCATTAATAGTGGATTTTCCCATTAAAAATGGTGATTTTCAATAGCTATGTTAGTTTACCAGAGGGTACAAGTGCCTAAAAAAAAGTTTACCAGTTGGGATTTCAGGAAATCGTCCACTTACATGGGTGGTTTGGCAGAGTCAGGTTGAGCCTTGACCACTCCACTGCAGGTAGGGATCGACGAAAAAGGGACGATAGCAGAGCACATCCCATGCCAGGTGGGGGTTGACATGCCAAGCGGAGTTGGATGAAGGAAATCTCTAGGAAATCACAACATTTGGATGGTACATTTTGTCTTGGACTCTTAGCTCCTCGAAAACCTTGGTGTCAAGGTTCATATCCCATGCCGTATGGTATGCCTGGGTATGCGGCCTGCAGCTCAAGCTTGCGAACTGCTGACTAAAACGAGAAAGTCAGGAGATTGACCTTAGCCGTTTGTCATCCCAGTTCTAACCCCAGTTTGAGTCCACTTCTTGAGGTACCGTGGGTCCATGGTCTGCCTAGGTCGCATATGGCGCCAGCCCTTGGGGTCCATATCCACCGCCATATGCCATGGGACGGGCACCGCCTGGTGACTATGGCGGGGCCTGAGGGTTTGGTACGCTTTGGTACTACGTCATCAACGGATAGCATGAATGATTCATTTTTTGTCCCACCAGGATCATCAATGGATGTTGAGACCCGCCATTATAAAGTCCATGCTATGCTGCTATTGATCTGGATGAATTGCAACGACTTCACTGCGACGTCACCGGAATGATAGTAAATATAGGGGGATGTAGGGGGTAAGTATTCCAAAATAGTCCTATTACTATTTGATCCTATTTGATCTTATTCCAGTTTCGTGGATTGATAATTATTATAATTTCTCCAGATTGATTGTGCCTCTCATCATATTGCCCATCATAAATCATGAAGTTCATGCTATTGATACTATTGATGTCATCCATTGCCTCCATGAAGTCCTCAACAGGTCACACTAGCCGTGCCCTGAACAACGATCGCGGTGATCGCGGTGACCGCCGCGACAATCGACGGGGCCGCGGCGACTATCGAGGTGCACCAAGGGGGTCATCCCAGACCCATGGCAACAGAAACCTATTGGTTGACGTGGCAAAACATGAAAAACCACTAGGCAAAACATGGCAAAGCTACAAAACATGATGTGGGTATTGGTGTTTAGTCAAAAGTAGCCAGCAATCGATTGCTGTCATTTTTTACAGTAGCACGTAGTCAGTAGTGACACCCTGTCAACATTTTTGTTTGCTTCCTGTACCAAAGTTTACCCAATATATTCCCGCAAAAGCCAAACCAATCTTTTGGCGGGATGTATCATGACTTATCCGACTTATCATGATTGTTCATTTCAATTCCTAAGCGATGTTTTTTTCTTCCAACACTGCACTCTTTGTCGTTCCCACCAAAAAGATACCGCTTCCCCGTGGCCAGGTATGGACTTTGGGGCCTTCAACGGTCGAGATGCCGAGCGCACCAAATGGGTCGGGATTCCTATGAGTTCACCGTGTGGTGCCAAGACCCTAACAGCTCGTTAATTTTTGGGGGTACCATTTAAGTATTTGAGTATCACTATCGGGGTACCGCCATAATTGGGCAAGACTTGGGTACCCCACTATTTAGATGGTTCATACTACAAATGGACATTTCAACAATTTTCAACCTCTGGTTTTTCAGAGTCTTAATTTTTGGCCTATTCCCAGTTAATAAACATATGACCAGGAATATTATCCCATACTGCTTGGTGGTTTGGAACATGAATTTTATTTTTCCATTCAGTTGGGAAGTTCATAATCCCCCATCATTTTTCATAGGGGTAGGTCAGCCACCAACCAGCCATATGATTAACCATCATTAACCATATAGTAACCAGTAATATTCACCATTATTAACAGTACATTACCAACCAATGGTAGGTGGCTCAACCACCAACCAGATATAGATATCCATAAACCCATATAAACCCATATAAATATCCCATGTTTCTCCATAAACCCATATAAATATCCATCATATCTGGGGGTTTCAACTGGGCTTGACACCACCATTTTTTGGATTTCCCAGCTGCGAGGCGCCTGGACAAGGCAGAAATCCCGACCTGGAGGCCATGGGCAGTGCGGTGCACGGCACAACCCGTGGGGGAGATCCATGGCCCAGGGGCCCTTGAGCGGTTTTAAGATGGGTCTCATAGGGAAACCCATGGAAACCCATGGAAACCCATGGAAACCCAATTTTTTTTACATGTGAACAATCATTTTATGATTTCAATTGATGATGATGATGATGATGATGATGATGATGACGATGATGACGATGATGACGATGATGACGATGATGATTTTGATGATGACGACGATGATGACGATGATGACGATGATGACGATGATGACAATGATGATGATGATGATGATGATGATGATGATGATGATGATGATGATAGTGATAGTGATTGTGATTGTGATAGTGATTCAACATTTATACCATTCTTACTATTGTTGCTATTACTGTACTATACGTTGCGGATGAGGATGAGGATGAGGATGGGGATGGTGATGATGATGATGATGATGATGATGAGGATGAGGATGAGGATGAGGATGGTGATGATGATGATTATGATGATGATGATGATGATGATGACGATGAAGTTGATGATGAAGTTGATGATGAATTATGATGAATTATGATGAATTATGATGAATTATGATGAATTGAATTATGATGAATTATGAATTTTGGGCAAACATGTCAATTTAACAATGCTATTGTCTTTGGAGCATGTGATTTTTGCTTCTCCCAAACGGCAGACAATTCATGGTTGATTGCTTTGCAGCATGCTTTTGCGATATGTATTTGCGGAGTGGCTTTTTGGCTGCAGCCGACTTGAAGTGTTGAAACTGTGCGTACATCTATCATTATCAACATAAATACTGTAGGTATCTGTAGGTATTGCGGTATAGCTTCAGGATAAGGGCCCCGAGTCACAAATTCTCCATGGTAACCGGGTGCTGGGACGTCCCCGTCGGGGAACTCAGAAAATGTGGATGTTGCTGATCGGGAGGTGAAACCGTGGGTGGTTTCAAATATCCTAATTTTTTTTTGGTTATATTGATACGTGGCAGAAAAAAAAACAATTCTGAGAATATCACCAACATTCGGAACATGTTTGGTTGTTGCTTTCTTTTCGTTTTTTGTTCTTCATCCGTTTTTTTTCACAATGTCTACAAATAGTTTTCGTTGTGAAACCAGGAACCAGAAACGAGCAACTAACTGGCTAGTAACTTCAGAACCCCTTGTGACTGGTGGATGTGTTTTGGGGGTGTACTACAGTCTTGCACCAACTGACTTGAGGTTCTTTCGTGGTACAGTTGTCTCTTTAGTGTTCCGCCGGTATGTCAGGGATGGGTCCTGCAAATTTTGGCTCGACAGTTAGTGGCTTTGACTCTTGCGTGGCTCCATGACTAACAGCCCATGGGGGCTGTTCTCGAGGATGACGTAGACGACGGACAGAGTTTTGCAGTGGGACATTTTGGTAGCCGCCCCATTCAGCGCTTGGCTGATGTGCTGCGCGAAAAGGATGAGGCCGCTCTTAGAGAGCGACTGCATAAGGAATTCGGAATAGAAGACCCTCGGTGTCAAACATTTTTTGCATCCTTTTGTTTTTAACTCTTTGATTGAAATACATAGTTCCACCATGGAAGGGATTAGAGGTGAGCTGTTCATTTCTGTCCAGCATGATCAGTTTGTCAATTCTGTTCCGAAGGATCAATTACAAGACCCCTGATATCCAACACACAGTTGTAGGCAGCGCACGGAAACTGCGTGGCCTTGCCACTGTTAACAAGTGCTCTTTCATCATGCTAGAAACCCAACTACAACCCTAACCACCGGAACTCCGAATTCATACCCTTGCGTTGGTAATTTTTGGGGGAACGCTAAACCTGCATTTTTGGATATTTTTGGTACTGATGGCACTGGCCTAGGATGAGACCTTTGCAGCCGTTCTCTTCGAGTCTTCCAGTGTTTGCCGGCGCGGAGCGATGCTCTATCCTCACGTGGGGGAGTTGACGGTGTCCTTTAACGGCGGCAAAGATGCATGCGTGGTAGCTCGGCAGGGTTGGTCTGATGGAGGTTTTTTTTCTGCAACAAAAATCTGGCGGATTTCTGGGGAAACTGATGGATGAGCCATGGGATTTCAAGGGTCTAATTTTTTGACAACTTCAAAGAGTGAATTCTCAAATTCATGGGGAAAACTATAGGTTCCGAGCTACCTTCATTTTTAGAAACGCCCACGCGAAGGTTTTGTGGTTGTGGAGCCTTCCCAAGGGTTGATAGGATATTGCCCATGGGGCACTCCCCATGAAATCTAATCTAAGACTATAAAAGGCGGGCTGACCATCACAGTATCACAGTAGGTTTCTTGACTTTTGACCCTCGAAACGATGTGGTTTACCTTCCGCCCTGGGTTTTTCTCCTTTTTTCCTCTGGGAGGAACATGTTTTCATCATGCCACCTATAAGATCCTATAAGATGATTTGAAAATCAGAATTCCTGGGGTTTGGGATCCATAGCCATATCCCCTGTACCCTGAATTTGACCGGGAACCCACTATTGTTCACTCTTTCTTCGTTCAGGGACAATCCAAACATGGTCGGCCGGGAAGCCCCGTTTTCCAAAATTTGTATGGGATATCATCTGGACAAATCATGAATCTGCGTTTCTTCATGCCTGTAAAAATCCCCCAAACTCCTGTTGAATCTAAATTTCACCTAAATTTCATAGTCTAATTCTCAACTTCAGATGAGAAGCATCATGGGTTTCAGGGATATCCGGGATATCCACAAAACATCCATCCACTCCCCCAGTTCAACCCGGGCCCCGGGTGTCACGGCAGGTGCTGTATCTGTGGCTGGCAGTGCTGCGGGCCATGGAGGAGATGCCGGAAACGCCGCAGGTCATCTTCTTCGACTCGGGTGATGAGTTCGGCAAAGTCAAGCGATTTGTGCCTGGGAGAACTCACCGGTATTTCAAAAAAGGGGATGTGATGTACAGGTTAAATATGGTTTAAATATAGTTTAAATATAATTTAAATATAGTTTAAATACAGTTTAAATATAGTTTAAATATGGTTTAAATACAGTTTAAATATGGTTAAAATATGGTTTAAATATGGTTATAACTACATTAATCTGGTTATAACATGTTATAACATGTTATAACATGTTATAACATGTTATACTATCAATTTAGCACTCCATTTTGGGTTGGGATTAAATGAGCAGAGTTTGGCCTTGAAAAGCCTGGCCTGAAAAGAATTGAAGAACAGCGATTAGATGCGCTTGGCATTGTTTGGCCATGAAGAAACATGAGGATGAAGATATGTGGGTTTCCATAATTAAATGGTTGTACCACCAAATGGATGGTTTATAATGGAAAATACAATTAAAGCCGATGATTTGGGGGTACCCCTATTTCAGGAAACCACCATTTATGGAACAAACATGGGATGTCAATGGTTCGAGGATGAGTTGTGAGGAGTTTGACCCTTCAAAAAAAAAGGCTTTGAAGAAGTGCATATACGTCGATCCTACTTTTGAGCACTTACAGAAATCACCCAAAAATGCATTCATATTCTTGGGTTGGACAAAGTCGATAAGCAAACCATAGCCTCCAAAAATCGCATTCTTACCGCGAAACAACAGCTGAATCTATCTATCTATCTATCTATCTATCGATCGATCGATCGATCGATCTATCAATCACAATTTTGGTGTCAAACAGTTGGTCTTTCGCGTCTTTTCTGCGTCATTTTGCGTCATATTGTTGGTCCTTCCAAATGCGACTGACAGAGGGCAAAATCAGCAATTGTTCGATTTTTGGTCGCTCACTACTTTTCAGTCCAGACCAAAAAAAATGCAGCTTTTGGATGTCCAGGTATATATATATATATTATATAATATATATATATAATAAACCGTAGGATTTCACCCTCGGATTCCATGGTTTTTGTCCGTAGGATTTTCAGTTCGAAACCCACCTGGACAGCCTACCTTTTGAGGTCACCTGGACAGTAAGAAGCCTGGACTTAGAGATGATCGTCTTGGAAAACCGCTCCTTCCGCCTGGGCATGGAATCCTTAGTGGCCAACAACGTGAAGGCCGTGGTGATGGGCCAGCGCTCAGTTGACCCTTGGATGAAGGGAATGGATGCCTTCACCCCTTCAACCGATGGATGGCCCGCCTTCATGCGGATCAATCCCATCATGAAGTGGTCCTACCATCACGTCTGGATCTTTTTGAGGCAGTTTGGATTTCCCTACTGTGAGCTCTATGACCAGGGCTTCACGTCCTTGGGCAGCGTGAAAGATACCCTGCCGAACCCCGCCCTGAAGAGGTCCGATGGCAGCTTTGCGCCCGCCTACGAGTTGGAGGACGGCACACTGGAGCGGGATGGCCGGACCAGTAGCAAGTCGGGCAAGGTCCGATGAGTGCCCACAAAACCGGCATGGGAACGATGAGAAACCCTAAGTCGTAGAGTCCGAACGTTTTTTTCAACCGAGTTTCACCCCCAAAAAAAAGAAAGCCTGCTTAACCTGGCTGTGATTGCACGGTCATTGTTTGAGACGTTTCAGGTTTAGGTCTGCTTCCAACACGGGCAGTCGGAAGGGTGTGCCAATTTCCAAAAGGCCACCCCATTCGAGTGCGTGTCAGTAGACCTTAAAGGGTACGAAGCAGTACGCAAGAGACACTTTGGTTGTGGTGTGCTGCCATAGTCAGCCCACTGCAGAAATCGACAAAAGTTGCAGATCTCGCGCGCGTTGGAAGATCGAAGCCAAATCCAGAAGCTAAATCGATCTTAGGGTTGGGTCAAAAACTTCAAGCACGGCTTTTTTTTGGGTTGAATGGTCTGAATGAATTAACACCCACAGATGATCACAGATGGGTTTGTCAATGGGGTATATCCCCACATGGCCATTTAGATCTAGGGGTACCCTAATCTCAGACAAAACCAGATGTTCTGAAAATGGTGGAATGCAGCTCCAGAAAGAGCAGCTACTTCTGAAGTGAACAGCTGCCACCGGCATCTCTGCGAGCATCCTAAGGTTCCATGGCTGAGCTGAGTCGGGTTTTTGCGCGAGGGCCATGGTGGAGACAAGTGCTTGGTCCAAATCTGGTGAATGATGCTTGATGATGGGAATATTATGCTAGATAATTTGTTGATGATGTCATTAGTTTTTTTTGGGGGGAAAAACGGAAAAACATATATTACCGGAACCATCCGGAACCTATGGTTTTTGCCCACATTTTATGACGTTTTCCTGCACATTTTTTCCCTTAAACCAATCCCATGATCCAAAGTCGTCGGTCTGTGATGGGCAATGATAGCTATGATACGGTGGATGGGCCAGCGAGATCCTGCACCAGTTGAAAACGCTATAGTAAACATCCCATTATTTATAGGGTTTCAACATGTTTCAACCATCCAGTTGGTGATGCAGGATTTCGCTGGCCCATCCACAGTAGCTATGATAGCCTCTTGAACTCGGAGAATGATCCGCCATGACATTCATACTCTTGAGGTGGTTGAAACCACCGACAGCGAAAGTTTTCGATGTAAAGGGCCACATGCCACAGCAATCAAAAAGGATCATAAAGGAACCTTGAAAGCCTTGAAGGCTTCAAAAAGTGAAACTGCGTGGATGGATTCGCCGACCATAAATGCTGGCCGAGAAGAAAATTTCGCCTTTGGTGCAGCGGGTGACTTTGGCCATTGGCGGTGTGCACTTGCTCCTGGTTAGGGATCTCAAGGGGAGATCCGAAGCGGCTTCGACCTCGGTGCAGGCCGAAAAGCTCACTGGCGTCCCGCTGGCGCGCAATTACAGCGAGCATGATGACAGGTGGGAAGGGGCGTCAGGTGGATTAGGTGGATTAGGTGGATCCTCAGAAATCCAAGGACAAAAAACATCAAATAATCAAATATGTAATAAATATGTCAAATTGGGGATAAAAAGAGGTCTTGATTCATCTCCTGCTTCAACCGAAGTGAGACACCTAAGCAGATCGCTGGTGAGGCGAGGAGAGGCTGCACCTGCGGCGAGGCGGAGCCTCCGCTCCGTGGTGGGGGTTTGCCACGCTTTGAAACGATGGGGACCCAATTCCAGTGGATTGGACATCTTTTTTGTCATATTTTTCCATATTTGTACGTGGCTAAAATGGTGTTTTTTTTTTCGGTCACATGGTATTTTTGCATGATTCAGATATGATATAAGCATATATAAGCCATATTCTGCGCTCGCCAGGCGAGGAAGCTCACCGGGTGGCAAATGGAAAAATGATATGCAGGGGTCCTCAGCTGCGACGAGCTTTGGAATCACACAGGATTTGTCGATTTTCCCCCGGATTTTCCTATTTACCATCTGGTTATGACTAACATAGCCATGGAAAGATCCACCATTTTTAATAGGTAAACCATCTATTTCGATTAGGGCCATCTATACCATGGCGAACTGTTAGTCATAACCAGAGGGTATCTCATATTGTTCATGACGTTTATCCCAGGGTTTTCCAGGGCCCCTTATGATTCGCCGGCCGGGATGAACCTGCCCAGGTTCGACCAAATGGTGAAAGGTGGAAAACCAGCTGAGGCTGATGACTGACGCCTGGACTCGCAAGCTGTCGCACTGATGACTTTCCGTGACTTACCCAATGTGGGATGCCCTGCCATAAAAATCATAAAATACCATGACTGGGCATGGTATGAATTGCACCCCACAAAAAATAGTAATTAAAAATGGTGATGGCTTGGGGATGGTCTATTGTTGGGTTTACCACATTTTTTTGGAGGAGAACCCCAAATCGATGAGTTCATCATGGTTCATCATGATATTTCACCCAAAGTTGTCATTTTTGTTTGGTGCAAATCACTGATGTTCAAGATTCTTCAAGCACATCAATGAAGATTCATGACAGAAAAGGTTTTAGTCCCTTTGAAATTCCAGTTGGTATGGTGCCATGAATTGACTAGGTCTCGCTGCAGCTTGCAAGGGAACATGCGTCGAGGTTTCACTTCCACAAGAAGCTTTGTGTCGATTCATCACCATTCAGATGGCTATTTTCCATCCTATACCCCCCATCATGTATGACCATTTTGATGGGGAAGTGATGATCAATCACTGGATTTCCCTGAGAAAATCAACGCCAGGATTCGAATGGATTCAATCTTACCATCCTCAGCCCCTGTGGAACAGATTTTCACCAGACAATCCTCGTTTCTCGCCAAGAGGGCCAGTGTATAAAGAGTGACATGCTCAGCTTCGTCCAGTAAAAGGAGGTGGCGTTGCGTTTCCAGAACTGGTTTAAGGGGAACAATGGGAACAAAACAAAGATCAGATACCGGCAAAAGTGTAGGTAGATGGCAGAATTCACTGCTTATTGCCATGTTCCAATATCTTTGCTTTGAGATCTTTAAGCATCAACCCTTGAGTGGTCATCAAAACGGCAGCGGATGGAACTCCTGGCTCCAGTATCACCCTAGAGACACACAAGCCGCGGCCGGACTTAACGTAGAGCCTGATGAGTGAGTGCATTCTTTGAGCACCTAGAAGCATCAGATTAAAAAGCCACATCTTTAAGAAGCAACTCTTTTTCTCAGCCGCGTCAGCCTTGAATGAAATTCCTGATATTTTTTTCAGGCTCAGAAAGTCTGAATCTCCATTATTTCCCATTAAATCACCATTTTTGATATTTTTTGATCGTGCATTTTTTTCACTTCTGACTCGCGGCCCGGCCATGCCTTTGCCGGGCAAATGACTTTTTCACAGAGGCTCCAGTGAAGATCGCTGGATGCCTTTCATCGTGGACAGCGTGAAGCGCGACCTAACTGCTGTCGTGACTCGGCTTTTTTTCGAGTCCAGGGCTGCCCTGAAGTTGTGGTGTTTTTTTTTAGCGGGGAAAATCATGATAATCCATGGGTAATTTGGGATGATTACCGCTAATTACGCCATGTTGAGTGAGACTCAGACTCATGTTTTTGGTTCTCAATTTCTTGGTTCTCAGATCCATGATGATCATTGTGGGTTGCCATGATTGGCCATGTCCCAAAGCCCCCTCTCCGGGAGGTCTTTGAGGCACATTTCCACACCAAGGGGTGATTGATGAAATTTGATGAGCAGGTGCCATTTATACACCACCAGGTTTTGAATGGGACTCGGCCTTAAATGGTTTTGAGCCTGCTTGCAGCACTTGGCCTTTATGGATTTCCAGCCAGATTTCCAGCCAGAATTTTCCGCCACAGAGCATCATCGGCATCAGGTCGAATGGGGTAGGCAAAAGATGCAGGAGGGGGACTACGAGAAAGCCACCCAGCACTTCTGCATGGCCTTAGACTTACGACCTGGCTTTCTCCAGGCAGAACACGGGGAGCATTGGCATTTTTTGGTCCATTTTTTCATACACATAGAGAATTATAGAGAAAATAGATGATGAAACTTGAAACATCAGAGCACATCAGCTTTTGCTGGGAAATATGGCAGGAAAGACTTGTGGTGAAAAGCCCTGGTTGAACTGGCACCCTTAGATCTCAGGTCTTTGGCGCTGTACAACCATCCCAATGCACCACAAAAACCGTTGCTATTTTTTTTGACTTCAGGGGTGTATCTCCATTTTTCAAAAGTCAAACATTCTTGACATCAACGTTTTTGTCCCCAATTCTCGATTTTCTCAGAACTTTTGGGGCGGATCTGATGGTTTTCTGCGCAGATTTCGGGGCGGGGTTCCTCTCAGCGCAGGCCTTAGTCTCCAGGGGCTTTTGCTACTTGGCCCTGGGAGAGGAGGCTCCTGTGGGATGATTCCGTCGAGCCGTTGGAACCAAAGGAAAACATGGATAGTTTTGGATGGTGAGTTTTTTGTTGATATCCATGGATATCCATTGATATATCTGTATTGATATGTATTGAACATCTATATATTGATATCTATTGATATCTATTGATATCGATTGATATCTATTGATATCTATTGATATCGATTGATATCTATTGATGTCAACCGTATTAGACCAGTTTTTCTTTGAGTACCGTGATGACCGGGGCTCTCTGAGAGAGGCTTTTCGGCTCGCCTCCTGTCAGGAGCGAGCCCAAAGAGACTTCGCTGATGTCGTCCAGAAGGAGAACAGAAGCGATGGTCAATAAAGATGAAATGGTTATTCTGATGGTCAATATGATGATATTTGTAGATATCTATATTGGTATGGAAGGTCACTCTATATAACTTCCTGTGGTTGATGATGTTGATGGTTAACATGTATGTTTAAACAAAAACCCGAAACAATTTATGTCATATACACTATACATATGATTACATATGTACCCTTGGCTTCCAAGGAGGATGTTCAACTTCAACTTTCTGATGTTGTTGAAGTAAACATGATCCATGTTTATTACCCTACAGCAAATTCACATGACGACCCTGGTAGTCATCGGGGTTGCTTCAGATTAGTTTCCTCTTTTGAAATTGGTGATTTTCAGGGTCAACAAGTTAGTTTACCAGAGGGTAACCATTATTACATGATTAACCATGATTACTAACCATTATTAACCATGATTAAATATGGGCTCTCCATCTTGAAAGGCTCCCAGTGAGCCATCCCCCTGTCATTTTTCGCAACAGGACGCTGGCTTCAACCGCAACATCTACGCCCCGGGCTCGGTGGAAGCGGTGGGAAATCTGCCATTGCCACAATGAGAAAATCATAGGACAAATCATGGGAAAATCATTGGAAAACATATATATAGGACATCCAATCTGTAATGATTTGTTTTATGGAATGTTTTATGGAGGTTTCTGAAATTTTCTGGACTTTGCAATTTCTGTCATTTCTAAGTCCTGTTTAAGATGACTGGGAGGGTTTTTGGGAATGCGACCTTGCATAGCCATGTTTTTGCAGCCTGATTTGGGTTGGTAGATATGACTTCTTCATATTTATTCATGGCCTCTATACTGGGTGCCCAACTTTCCCAGCCCTGACACCAGTTCTCAGTCCAGCGAAGGTGTTGATGTCCCTCTCCTTGAAACGCACGGGCGACCTTCATGGCGCCATCCGCTATTTGAATCGCTGTTTGAGTCGCTTGCCCTGGGAGGTACAGCGGGACTGAATGTGGTGGAGGTGTCTCTTCTAATCTCTTCTAGACACAACAAAAAAACTTAAAAAACACACAAAAAACAATCAAACAGCCATGGGCTGCAGGTTTTTCCATGGGTTTTTCCATGGCTTTGCTCATCCTCAGGCCTTTTCCCAAATTTCAAGCCCGCTCTGCTCGCCCGTGGTGAGCTCTGCCTGAAGGCGCGAAAACCTCCGAAGAGATGGAGACTGGAAGATGGACATGCTAACAGCAGATTTTTATGTTGATCCATGTTGATCTGTATCAAGATGATCTAAACAAATACACTGTATATATATAGAATGGGCTAGCGCCCTGGTGCCGCCGACCCCATCGAAAAAAGGTCGTTACGAAAGCATATGCTTACATTTGCCCCGCTTGCAAAGGGAATGTGGCCAGTGATGTGAAGACAGGGAAAATAGACCATCGAACCGTCTGTGGGAACCAGTTTTCTGTCAAGGACGGCCTGGTGAATGAGAAAGCATATGTTTACATTTGCCCCGGTTGCAAAGGGAATGTGGCCAGTGACGTGAAGACAGGGAGAATAGACCATCGAACCGTCTGTGGGAACCAGTTTTCTGTCAAGGACGGCCGGGTGAATGAGAAAGCATATGTTTACATTTGCCCCGGTTGCAAAGGGAATGTGGCCAGTGATGTGAAGACAGGGAAAATAGACCATCGAACCGTCTGTGGGAACCAGTTTTCTGTTAAGGACGGCCTGGTGAATGAGAAAGCATATGTTTACATTTGCCCCGGTTGCAAAGGGAATGTGGCCAGTGACGTGAAGACCGGGCGAGTAAATCATCAAACGGTCTGTGGGAAGATGTTTTGGGTGAAGGATGGCGTTGTGCAGGAGAAAGGCGACAAACGGCACGCGTGAAAAGCGAGAAGAACGGCCGGTTGTGGTGGCCTTTGGCTGCACGGTTGGGCGTGGCAAAAGGTGCTTAGACATTTGAAGCTTTTGGGAGTTTGAGACTTGGCAAACGGCAGGCTTGAATGCCCAAAATGAAAAGCCGTGATTGAGCCATTGCTGTGGCCTTGTCGGGTACCTGTTGGAATGGCTTTTGCTTGCAAAGGGAATGTGGCCAGTGATGTGAAGACAGGGAGAATAGACCATCGAACCGTCTGTGGGAACCAGTTTGCTGTCAAGGACGGCCTGGTGAATGAGAAAGCATATGTTTACATTTGCCCCGGTTGCAAAGGGAATGTGGCCAGTGATGTGAAGACAGGGAAAATAGGAATGTGGAACCAGTGATGTGCCACAGGGAAAATAGACCATCGAACCGTCTGTGGGAACCAGTTTTCTGTCAAGGACGGCCGGGTGAATGAGAAAGCATATGTTTACATTTGCCCCGCTTGCAAAGGGAATGTGGCCAGTGATGTGAAGACAGGGAAAATAAACCATCGCACGGTGTGCGGGAACCAGTTTTCTGTGAAGGAAGGCGTCGTGAAGGAGAAGGCATATGTTTACATTTGCCCCGCTTGCGAAGGGAATGTGGCCAGTGACGTGAAGACCGGGCGAGTAAATCATCAAACGGTCTGTGGGAAGATGTTTTGGGTGAAGGATGGCGTTGTGCAGGAGAAAGGCGACAAACGGCACGCGTGAAAAGCGAGAAGAACGGCCGGTTGTGGTGGCCTTTGGCTGCACGGTTGGGCGTGGCAAAAGGTGCTTAGACATTTGAAGCTTTTGGGAGTTTGAGGCCTGGCAAACGGCAGCCTTGAACGCCTATAAGAAGCCATTGCTGCGGCCGGAAGGTGCCCTTGAGCCATTGCTGTGGCCTTGTGGTGGCTTTTGCGTGCGGGAGTGGCGCGTGTTGGGCTTGTTGGGGTACCTTTTCCCTGCGGAGCTATGCGCTATGCGAACTTTTGGAGGGTTTGGAGGGTTTTGGAGGGTTTGAGGCCTGGCAAACGGCAGCCTTGAACGCCTATAAGAAGCCATTGCAGCGGCCGGAAGGTGCCTTTTCCCTGCGGAGCTATGCGAACGTTTGGAGGGTTTGGAGGGTTTTGGAGGGTTTGAGGCCTGGCAAACGGCAGCCTTGAACGCCTATAATATAAGAAGCCATTGCAGCGGCCGGAAGGTGCCCTTGAGCCATTGCTGTGGCCTTGTGGTGGCTTGTGCGTGCGGGAGTGGCGCGTGTTGGGCTTGTTGGGGTACCTTGTCCCTGCGGAGCTATGCGAACTTTTGGAGCGTTTGGAGGGTTTTGGAGGGTTTGAGGCCTGGCAAACGGCAGCCTTGAACGCCTATAAGAAGCCATTGCTGCGGCCGGAAGGTGCCCTTGAGCCATTGCTGTGGCCTTGTGGTGGCTTTTGCGTGCGGGAGTGGCGCGTGTTGGGCTTGTTGGGGTACCTTTTCCCTGCGGAGCTATGCGAACTTGTGGAGGGTTTTGGAGGGTTTGAGGCCTGGCAAACGGCAGCCTTGAACGCCTATAAGAAGCCATTGCAGCGGCCGGAAGGTGCCCTTGAGCCATTGCTGTGGCCTTGTGGTGGCTTTTGCGTGCGAGCATTGCGCCTGGAGGGCTTGTTGGGTTACTTTGTCCATGCGGAGCTGGGCGAACTTTTGGAGGGTTTGGAGCGTTTGGAGGGTTTTGGAGGGTTTTGGAGGGTTTGAGGCCTGGCAAACGGCAGCCTTGAACGCCTAAAAGAAGCCATTGCTGCGGCCGGGGTGTGCCCTTGAGCCATTGCTGTGGCCTTGTGGTGGCTTTTGCGTGCGGGAGTGGCGCGTGTTGGGCTTGTTGGGGTACCTTTTCCCTGCGGAGCTATGCGAACTTTTGGAGGGTTTGGAGGGTTTTGGAGGGTTTGAGGCCTGGCAAACGGCAGCCTTGAACGCCTATAAGAAGCCATTGCAGCAGCCGGAAGGTGCCCTTGAGCCATTGCTGTGGCCTTGTGGTGGCTTGTGCGTGCGGGAGTGGCGCGTGTTGGGCTTGTTGGGGTACCTTTTCCCTGCGGAGCTATGCGAACTTTTGGAGGGTTTGGAGAGTTTTGGAGGGTTTGAGGCCTGGCAAACGGCAGCCTTGAACGCCTATAAGAAGCCATTGCAGCGGCCGGAAGGTGCCTTTTCCCTGCGGAGCTATGCGAACGTTTGGAGGGTTTGGAGGGTTTTGGAGGGTTTGAGGCCTGGCAAACGGCAGCCTTGAACGCCTATAATATAAGAAGCCATTGCAGCGGCCGGAAGGTGCCCTTGAGCCATTGCTGTGGCCTTGTGGTGGCTTGTGCGTGCGGGAGTGGCGCGTGTTGGGCTTGTTGGGGTACCTTGTCCCTGCGGAGCTATGCGAACTTTTGGAGGGTTTGGAGCGTTTGGAGGGTTTTGGAGGGTTTTGGAGGGTTTGAGGCCTGGCAAACGGCAGCCTTGAACGCCTAAAAGAAGCCATTGCTGCGGCCGGGGGGTGCCCTTGAGCCATTGCTGTGGCCTTGTAGTGGCTTTTGCCTGCAGCGTTGGGCATGGCAAGGGTTCAAGAAAGACAGGATCCACACCTCCGGTGGTCCCAGGCGCCGCCCCGGCCTTGGCGAAGGCCGGGGTCGGCGGATATATATATATATATATTTATCATTATTCATCTATGATTATATGTATTTGTATATATATATATATGTATATATATATATATACATGTATATATATATACATATGTATATATTATAATCCATTATAATCCAAGATGATCTAATCGGACCGAAAAAAATGGATCGGGTGGGCCATGCAGTCGAGGTACAAGATTTCGAGAGAGCTCGTTCAGACTTCCGCCAAGTTCTTCAAGATGAGTCGTGGCCCTGCTCGCCTCTGTCTATCCTTGGACATGCATTGAACTTCCTGAATTCGAACTTGCAGAAAGTAAGTCGGGGCAGTCGGGGTGTTGCGAATCATTTCAGACCCAGACAAAAACCAGAGCCTTTAGCAGCTATAGCATTTTTTCAACCATGGTTATGGGGTGTTATGGGTAGCTTGATCGGCTTGATAGCTTTGATTTTTTGCATCCAAATTTCCATTCTTTTTGCCAATCCAAAATGGGCCAGTTTCGGATCTTAAGGCCAGTGCACCTGGTTGCGCGCCGGGGCTTAGCCGATTCGTGACCTGGCTTCCGGAATGGTGTAAAAAATGAAGCACCAGGCTGGTGAAAAAATGTTGAGAGTCGTTCAGATGTTCAAAAATCAGCAAAGAACTGACATTTCTTTTACGTTCTAGAATGATTACCCCCAATCATTTAAGATCATTTAAGATTTTACTGGCCGGTTTCTGAAACGGCGACTCAGGCTACGTGGCCTCGGAAACTTCTTGGAGGCACGACATGGGGTGATGCCACGATTGCAAAAGATGCCATTTTTAGTGGGTAAAACATAGGTCATGGTAAATCATAGGTAAATCATGGTAAATCATAGGTAAATCATAGGTAAATCATAGGTAAATCATGGTAAATCATGGTAAATCATAGGTAAATCATGGTAAATCATGGTAAATCATAGGTAAATCATAGGTAAATCATAGGTAAATCATGGTAAATCATAGGTAAATCATAGGTAAATCATGGTAAATCATAGGTAAATCATGGTAAATCATAGGTAAATCATAGGTAAATCATAGGTAAATCATAGGTAAATCATGGTAAATCATAGGTAAATCATGGTAAATCATGGTAAACCATAGGTAAATCATAGGTAAATCGCAGGTAAATCATAGGTAAATCATAGGTAAATCATGGTAAATCATAGATAATTCATGGTAAATCATAGGTAAATCATAGGTAAATCATGGTAAATCATAGGTAAATCATGGTAAATCATGGTAAATCATAGGTAAATCATAGGTAAATCATAGGTAAATCATGGTAAATCGTGTTTTTTCCTCTGGTAAATCATCTAGGTAACTAGATGTAAAAATCGCGAAGTACTGATAAGTTGATTTCAAAAGATGAATTTCCAGTGTCTCGGCTGCAGGTTTAACGTTGAGCACAACAGGTTGAATGCGGTACCACGAAAGGATGTGGTTGACTATTCTGCAAGACGGCCAGCCAACCTTCCCAACTCCCACCGAGTTTTCTTCCTCCTTTTCGCTCAAATCGATCGCTTTTTGGTGGACGTATTTTTTCTCCTGAGATACTTGATTTTGGTTGAAGTTGAGATACAATGACATCCCAAAAAATAGAACAAGGTTAAAGTTAATCATTATTTTGGTAGGACTTTGCTTCTCTATCCAAAATAATGATTACATCACATCATTATCATTATAATGGATCTAATGGATAGACATTAATGATTGATAAATAATCCAGTAGATCTATTGTAATTTCATAAATATCTATCCAGGTCTATCCATCAATAATTAATATAATTATTATTAGGACTTATTAGGACTATTCATGGATAGATATACGATAGAGTTCCTATAACGGATTATATAGAATACATTATCAATGGATTGATATTATGAACCACTAGCATTATTATCCATTCAAAGTGGTGTTCCTATAACTCAACCATTTTTCAGCCATGCAGCCGCTGAACACCATGGAACCCTTCCGAATTTCACGAAACAGCAGACGGAGGCCCTTCGCCAATACAGCCGGGGCATCAGCGACACCTCACAGGCGCAGCGGCGCACGTGTCATCGGATGAAACAAGGCTTGGTAGAAGTTCCTAACTTGGGGGATTTTTAATAGCACCTGAAAACATGAATATTGCTGTTGGAGATTATATCAAATTTCTTGTTGGGTGATGTGAAAAAATAAGACATTTGCCCATATTTGCCCCAGTTAAACACGAACAGAACATGACGACATGTCGTTCAAACCAGCCAGATTTTCCCGCAAATGGTTTTCTTCAAGAAAAACATAGAAACAATTCGCAAATCTGGTTGGTGGTTTGGAACATTTTTTATTTTTCCATATATTGGGAATAATCATCCCAACTGACTAATATTTTTCAGAGGGGTAGGTATACCACCAACCAGAAATGGGTTAATGGCTTTGTCTGAAAATCGTGTACCCCAAATGGCCCCAAACGGCCCCATGGATGATCATCATTTGCCGCATTGAAATGGCCATGTGGGGGGTATAACATGGTATAAATGAAATGTCATCCATTTTCACAAAAAAAACACACAATCAAAGATCATCAAAACAGCTGCGTTTTTGCTGCGTAGAATCTTAGATATCTTAGAGCCAGGCTATGGAGCATCAGCTGGAACAACAAGATCAGGGTCCAGAACAAGAAGAGCCCGAAGAGGCGGAGAAGTGTGGCTTTGGGATTCAAACAACACAGAAATGTGGATTTAATCAACAAAATTGGTGATACAACCAACACATTTGGGGATTTAACCAACCATTTAATCATCAAACTTGACCTATATCATCGTTCAAACATGGGGATCCGACCAACATGAAAATTCAACCATCAAGGATTTTGATTCAGGTGATATTGGGTTTGCCCAAAGATGGTGAACCTATAAAAGACCAATTGATGACCTTTTTCTCAGGAAAGTCATGAGAAAGAAAGTTGGATGGACATTGTGACATGGCCTCCTGCCCCAAGAGCGCATCATTTTTCCCAGGAGAAGTTGCAGCCGGAAGCCAGAGGTGGCTGGAGGGAAACCCATGGACATGGTATGAAGATGGTCCATTTTCGTATTGTACTTGGTATTATATATATATATTATATAATATTATAATATATATATATATTTATACATACACATGATATCCATCATCTCAGATCATCTCAGCTGCCAGGGTTCAACGTTGGGCAGTCTGGGGTTCATCTCGTTTAACCATCCCCTCAGATGGCTCCGAGAACGACAACGGCATCTCCGCGCTTCCGGAGACGGAGCTGCCGCAGCCGCAGCCTTTGGATGTCCAAAAAAGGGCTGGGTTTACTGGAGAGGTTTCACAACGCCACGACTGGGAGTTTGTTACGCGAAAATTTTGACATGGATTGAGAAAACGCGCAAAAAACTAGGATATACAAACTGCCGGTGTGCAGTTTGGGACGTTTCAAACCTGACCATCCAAGAGCAAATCGCTGTCAATGAGAATCATCTCAAAAGGATTGGGTGGTGAAACAAGATGGGACATGGATTGGGTTTGGAGACGTACCAGCATTTCGACCCAGGGACAGCCCTTCGAAGCACTCCAACGAAGACAGCCCGCATAGGCTGCAGATAAGCCTGACAGATCTTGGGGGCCACTTTGTTGTTATGTGACTGCAAGTTGCTTATGTCGAAGCAGGAAATATGTCGATGCGGGAGGCTGCCCACTTCCCAGCAAAACAAAGGAGCAGAAGGCATAGTTGATCACCATTCTCACTCCGTCAAGTTTATATAGGGATAGGTATGATACCTAGAGTCTATTATATCCTATTAAATACCATATTATCCCATATTATCCCATATTATCATATTATCCCATCATTCACCATTAGTGTCTCATATGATCTCATCCCCATAGTTTCCCAGGACTGTCACCCCGCCAGGCAAGGTGACGAGAGAGCTGAAGCAGCTGAGGCGGAGCCTAGAGAGCTGAGGCCCGGGAAGAGTTGCTATCACTATTCAGAAGTTGTTAGCCGGTTAGCCTCTGGAGGATCAGTTTGGAACTATAGGAAAACCATAGGAAAATGGTGGTTTTATGGGAAAATCATAGGAAAACCATAGGAAAATGGTGGTTTTAGCCTCTGGTAAACATACAAAAAACATCAAACAACTTCAAGAAACATCATCATTTTTACTAGGCAATGGGCCATTTTCAATAGCTATGGTTAGTTTACCAGAGGGTATATATATATATGTAATATTGCCGTGATTATTACTATTATTACTATCATGATGATAATGATTATTTATCGTTATTATATGTTACTATTGTCAATATGTCACGAAAGCCAGCCGCTAGGCTAGGCGAAGTTATTTTTGCGAACAAAGTGAGTTAAGGGGGTCTGGGGGCAGAGCGCCCCAAGTGGGATAAAAATGCGGAAAATAGGTTGTAAAAAAGGTGGCCACAGGTAAACTTTTTTAGGGTTATGTGCCAGGTGGCAATTGGGTGACGTTGGGGTATCGATTCCCCCCTGGTCCGCCCTCCGAGGTGGATCTGGGCGGGAAAATGATGTCGAGCAAAACTATGGAAAAGCAATGGAAAAAAATGAAGGTTTCTGGGTAAAGAGTCTCTGGGTGAAAAGTATATGGGTGAAAAGTATGTGCAAGAAGGGTTTCTGGGTGCAGAGTCTCTGGGTGAAAAGTATATATGGGTGAAAAGTATGTGCAAGAAGAGTTTCTAGGTGAAGAGTCACTGGGTGAAAAGTATTCTCTGGGTAAAAAGTATATGGGTGAAAAGTATGTGCAAGAAGAGTTTCTGGGTGAAGAGTCTCTGGGTGAAAAGTCTGTGCAAGAAGAGTTTCTGGGTGAAGAATCTCTGGGTGAAAAGTATAAGTGTATGTGCAAGAAGAGTTTCTAGGTGAAGAGTCTCTGGGTGAAAAGATGTGAAAAGTATATGGGTGAAAAGTATGTGCAAGAAGAGTCTCTGGGTGAAAAGTATATGGGTGAAAAGTATGTGCAAGAAGAGTTTCTGGGTGAAGAGTTTCTGGGTGAAAAGTATATGGGTAAAAAGTATATGGGTGAAAAGTATGTGCACGAAGAGTTTCTGGGTGAAGAGTCTCTGGGTGAAAAGTCTGTGCAAGAAGAGTTTCTGGGTGAAGAATCTCTGGGTGAAAAGTATATGGGTGAAATGTATTGAAGAGTCTCTGGGTGGAAAGTATGGTGGAAAATAGGGGTAGATGGGATGCTGGCAATGGAGGGGAAAATGATGAGAAAAACAATAGAAAAAATGAGGGAATATGACAGACAACAATGGGAAAAAATGGGAAAGGAGGGGAAAATGATGAGAACAACAATGGAAAAAAGGAGGGACTTTGACATATAACAATGGGAAAAAAATTGGAAAGCAATGGAAACGGTGGAAAGAATAGGGAGAGGGTAACATGATGCCAAGTAAAATTGAGGCTCCGATGTGGGACCATTATTGGTAAAGTTTACGGCGTAAAGCATGCGTGAAACAATGGAAAAGCAATGGAAAACTTGCTGTTTCGATGTGTGACCACTATGAAGAGTTTCTGGGTGAAGAGTCTCTAGGTGAAAAGTATATGGGTGAAAAGTTTGAGCAAGAAGAGTTTCTGGGTGAAGAGTCTCTGGGTGAAAAGTCTGTGCAAGAAGAGTTTCTGGGTGAAGAGTCTCTGGGTGAAAAGTAAATGGGTGAAAAGGATGTGCAAGAAGAGTTTCTGGGTGAAGAGTCCCTGGGTGAAAAGTATATGGGTGAAAAGTATCTGCAAGAAGAGTTTCTGGGTGAAGAGTCCTTGGGTGAAAAGTATGTGCAAGAAGAGTTTCTGGGTGAAGAGTCTCTGGGTGAAGAGTCCCTGGGTGAAAAGTATGTGCAAGAAGAGTTTCTGGGTGAAGAGTCTCTGGGTGAAAAGTATATGGGTGAAAAGTATGTGCAAGAAGAGTTTCTGGGTGAAGAGTCTCTGGGTGAAGAGTATATGGGTGAAAAGTATGTGCAAGAAGAGTTGCTGGGTGAAGAGTCCCTGGGTGAAAAGTATATGGGTGAAAAGTATGTGCAAGAAGAGTTTCTGGGTGAAGAGTCTCTGGGTGAAAAGTATATGGGTGAAACGTATGTGCAAGAAGAGTTTCTGGGTGAAGAATCTCTGGGTGAAAAGTATATGGGTGAAATGTATTGAAGAGTCTCTGGGTGAAAAGTATGGTGGAAAATAGGGGTAGATGGGATGCTGGCAATGGAGGGGAAAATGATGAGAAAAACAGTAGAAAAAATGAGGGAATATGACAGACAACAATGGGAAAAAAATGGGAAAGGAGGGGAAAATGATGAGAACAACAATGGAAAAAGGAGGGACTTTGACATAAAACAATGGAAAAAACAAATTGGAAAGCAATGGAAACGGTGGAAAGAATAGGGAGAGGGTAAAATGATGCCAAGTAAAATTGAGGCTCCGATGTGGGACCATTATTGGTAAAGTTTACGGCGTAAAGCATGCGTGAAACAATGGAAAAGCAATGGAAAACTTGCTGTTTCGATGTGTGACCACTATGGAGTAGAAGCACAGAAAAAAAACATGGAAGAAACGAGGAAAACCGTTTATACGGTGCAACTGTAGGGATTGTGGAAGGTGCATTTGGGTAAGCGTTAGACACCCAGCTGCCCCAAAAGTACCCAGCTCTGTCGACACAACAAAATACCCAGCTTGGTCTTTTTGTCGACATCCCTTGGCTTTTGGGACATGGGACAGCATGGGACCACTATAAAATGGATTTTTTTTTCCATCCTACCCTAAAATACCCAGCTGCCCCAAAAATACCCAGCTCTGTCGACAGGACATAGGACAGCACGGGACCACTATAAAATGGAAAACTATCTCCATCCCACCCCAAAAAATACCCAGCTGCCCCAAAATACCCAGCTCCGTCGATACCAGTCTTTTTGTCGACATCCCTTGGCTTTTGGGACATGGGACAGCATGGGACCAATGGAAAACTACCAGAAAATAAGTCTTGGTCTTTGTGTCAGCATCCCTTGGCTTTGGGACGTGCCGGGCTAAAGAAAAATGTGGTGTCTTTGGGGCGATGATGGTGGGAGGATGTGGGAAGGCTGCGGCACTATAAAATGGAAACCCCCAACCCCAGAAAATCCTACCAGGAAGGGCATGTAATCTCTATAAAATGAGAGCACCCAACCCCTCAAAAAACCATTCATTTTTGGATGTTGTAAGATACAGGGGGTTGGGGGTTCCTATTCTATAGTAGAAAGTTGGCTAGTTCCTTCATTTTAAGGCTAGGCTCCAGGGTACGTTGGGGCCTCCCATTTTATAGTGATGGAGGGTTTTGCAGTAAATTTGTAGCTGTAAATATTTGCTTTTTCAAATAATTTTCTTATTTTATAGAGGTGCACCTGTTTTGTGACCTTGGGTGTTTCCATTTTATAGAGGTCCCACTCCGGGGGGGGGATGGGTGCCCCCGTTTTAGTACTATAAAATGGGGGCACCCAACCCCCCCACTTAATCTAGTAGGGGATGTGAAAAGTATATGGGTGAAAAGTATGTGCAAGAAAAGTTTCTAGGTGAAGAGTCTCTGGGTGAAAAGTATATTGGTGAAAAGTATGTGCAAGAAGAGTTTCTGGGTGAAAACTATATGGGTAAAAAGTATATGGGTGAAAAGTATGTGCAAGAAGAGTCTCTGGGTGAAAAGTATATGGGTAAAAAGTATATGGGCGAAAAGTAAAATTGAGGCTCTGATGTGGGACCATTATATGTGCAAGAAGAGTTTCTGGGTGAAGAGTCTCTAGGTGAAAAGTATATGGGTGAAAAGATTGATCAAGAAGAGTTTCTGGGTGAAGAGTCTCTGGGTGAAAAGTCTGTGCAAGAAGAGTTTCTGGGTGAAGAGTCTCTGGGTGAAAAGTATATGGGTGAAAAGTAGGTGCAAGAAGAGTTTTTGGGTGAAAGTATATGGGTGAAAAATACGTGCAAGAGAAGTTTCTAGGTGAAGAGTCTCTGGGTGAAAAGTATATTGGTGAAAAGTATGTGCAAGAAGAGTTTCTGGGTGAAGAGTCTCTGGGTGAACAGTATATGGGTGAAAAGTAGGTGCAAGAAGAGTCTTTGGGTGAAAGTATATGGGTGAAAAATATGTGCAAGAGAAGTTTCTAGGTGAAGAGTCTCTGGGTGAAAAGTATATTGGTGAAAAGTATGTGCAAGAAGAGTTCCTGGGTGAAGAGTCTCTGGGTGAAAAGTATATGGGTGAAACGTATGTGCAAGAAGAGTCTCTGGGTGAAAAGTATATGGGTGAAAAGTATGTGCAAGAAGAGTTTCTGGGTGAAAACTATATGGGTAAAAAGTATATGGGTGAAAAGTATGTGCAAGAAGAGTTTCTGGGTGAAGAGTTCTGGGTAAAAAGTATATGGGCGAAAAGTATGTGCAAGAAGAGTCTCTGGGTGAAAAGTCTGTGCAAGGAGAGTTTCTGGGTGAAGAGTCTCTGGGTGAAAAGTGTATGGGTGAAATGATGTGCAAGAAGAGTTTCTGGGTGAAGAGTCTCTGGGTGAAAAGTATATGGGTGAAAAGCATGTGCAAGAAGGGTTTCTGGGTGCAGAGTCTCTGGGTGAAAAGTATATGGGTGAAAAGTATGTGCAAGAAGAGTTTCTAGGTGAAGAGTCTCTGGGTGAAGAATCTCTGGGTGAAAAGTATATGGGTGACATGTATGTGCACGAAGAGTTTCTGGTTGAAGAGTCTCTGGGTGAAAAGTCTGTGCAAGAAGAGTTTCTGGGTGAAGAATCTCTGGGTGAAAAGTATATGGGTGACATGTATGTGCAAGAAGAGTTTCTGGGTGAAGAGTCTCTGGGTGAAAAGTCTGTGCAAGAAGACTTTCTGGGTGAAGAGTCTATGGGTGAAAAGTATATGGGGGAAAAGTGTGCAAGAAGAGTTTCTGGGTGAAGACTTTCTGGGTGACAAGTCTCTGGGTGAAAAGTATGTGCAAGAA